GAAGGCAAAGCACAGGATTTTTAGGGCAGGGAAACCCTTCTGTGTGATACCCTGATGGTAGATTCATGTCGTTATGCATTTGTCCACATCCATCGAATGCACGCCACCTAGAGTGAACGCTGATGTAAACTATGGACGTTGGATGATAATGACGTGTCAGTGTAGGTTCATCAGTTACAACAAATGAACCATTCAGGTGGGGGATGTTTATCATGGGGGAGGCTGTGTGGATGTGTGGGGGCAAGTGGTAAATGGGAAATCTCTGTAACTTCTGCTGTGAACCTAAAACCTGCTCCAAAAATACTTAAGAAAGTAGGACATGTTCTCCCACAGGCTTATGAGATCTGGTACTTCAGTAGTCTCATAAATGTCCCTGAAGTATTTTACAAATACCTACAGATGACACAGGGATTCCTGGTGAAATAATATTGTTGAATATTGATTTGCTTTTTGTGAGTTAGGCAGCTGATAGACAATCCCAAATTCTTTCTAAAGCCATGAATTTAGCTCATAACTTTAATACTGGTGGGAAGGTGTTTTTTAACAAGATTAAAGAGGACATAAAATATTCTGTTAAAATTCAATTATCAGAGGTGGTAATTGAAGGGAGATAATGCTCTTAAACTATTCTTTCTTATATAAATATACTGAAAAATAAGTTTACATCCTTTTTTACCTCTGGGGGAAAATAAAGCAGCAATTTACAAATATACCTTTGAGTAAAAAAAGATATCAATTTAATATTACTTCAATGAATTCACTCTTGCTTGTCTTCAGTTTTCTCCCTTGATAAGCAATGCTGCATTTGTATATACTTATTCTTCCATTTTTGGGGGTAAGTTTTTGGGATTTCTTGGCCAAATCATAAGCACGTTAACTTTTTTTTTTTTTTAGATTTTATTTATTTATTTGAAAGGTAGAGTTATGGACAGAGAGAGGGAGAGACAGAGAGAAAGGTCTTCCATCCACTGGTTCACTCCCCAAATGGCTACAACGCCTGGGGCTGAGTCGACCTGAAGCCAGGAGCTTTTTTCGGGTCTCCCACGTGTGTGCAAGGGTTCAAGCACTTGGGCGATCTTCCACTGCTTTCCCAGGCCATTCATAGAGAGCTGCTTAGGAAGAGGAGCAACTGGGACATGAACCTGTGCCCATATGGGATTGCCAGCACTGGAGGCACAGGCTTAGCCTATAATGTCACAGCGCCATCCCCACATGTTAAATTTTTATTTTAATTGTTAAGCTGCCCTCCAGAAAAATAATGCAAATGGTATAGTTGACAACAGTGCCCCTTTTTCCATATTAAACTTTGTTTAAGTTTAGTTTTGCCATAGTGAATTTTTAATATTGTTTTAATATTGTTGCCAGGTCTATTAATCTTTTCTATAATGGCTTTTGGTCTTTGGGATTGTACTTTGGAAGTCATTTTGCTCTCCAAGATTACAAAGATATTAACCTAAAATTTTTTTACCCCATTAAGATTTTTTTAAATTATTATTTAATATCCTTACAATGATGTTTAAAAAAATTTTTTTTCCTATTTATTAGAGAGGGAGATACAGTGCCATACACAGAGAACACCCTTTGGAGCTGGGCCAAGGCTGGGGCTGGAGCTGGGAACTCAATCGAGGTCTCCTACTTGGGTGGCCTGAACCCAGTTACTTGAGCCTTCTTTGCTGCTTCCCTCCATCTGCATTGGCAGGAAACTGAAGCCAGGAGCTGAGGACCCTCTAAGATTGGATATGGACATCTAGTGTCTAGGTCATGGCTGCTAGACCACACACCCACTCCTAAAACTAGTTTTTGAAAAAAAATCCGCTTAGATCTTTAAGTATTGACTCACTTTATGGCACAAAAATTTGAGGGAATTCTTAAGACTACTTTTTAGGTTGTCTTAGACATGTTGGTAACGGTTTTTGTTTTGCCTTGCTGATGCTTCAGCCAGTTTTCCCTTTTATAGGACTTGAGATGTGCACAAAACCTATCAGGCTTTCTCAACTAACCAGCTACTCTTTGAGTATTCAGATTTTAGGCTTCAGGATAAACTACAGAGATGGGAAAGAGCTTTAGAAATTAGCTAGAATGCCTGAAGTTCTCTCTTAATGTCCTTTGCATTCTGGATCTATATAAGAGTACTTCAGAAAGTTTGTGAGAAAATACAATTAAAAGATAATGAGCATTTTCCACAAAATTTCTGAAGGGCCCTTGTATTATTTGGTTATGTGAACAAACATCTGACAGTGCTGGTAATTTGGAGAAGTTAAGTCATTCCTCTGAGGAAAATAAACTTGAAATTCAGTGATTACTCTTTCTAATTCTGGGCACCATTTTTTCATAGGTGTGGATAAAAAATTTGTGTAGTTTTTCTTTTTTGATATTGTGATAGCAGCTTTGTTCTTTTAATTATACCAAACTTTAAAACATGCTGAAATTCAGTCAACATATTTGTTTTTGTGTTTATAAAGGAAGAGGGGAGTTCTTAACGTGATTATGACCTAAAATATTTGCAGTCAGATTGGGAAAGCTTTGCTGTTTGTGAAAATGAGATGATTAGAACATTCTTCATTAGAAGTTATAAACTGCTTTATTACTAAAACACACATGCCTGCATGTGTGTCAAATAATCGAGAGACTTATTCTGAAACCTACTTTAAACTGGAATGTTTGATTTATTTATTTTTAAAAAGATTTATTTATTTATCTATTTATTTGAAAATTGGAGTTACACAGAGAGAAGGAGAGGCAGAGAGAGAGAGAGAGGGGCCTTCCATCCTTTGGTTCATTCGCCATTTAGCCTCAACGGCTGAGCTGCACCGATCCGAAGCCAGGAGCCAGGAGCTTTTTCCGGGTCTCCCATGCAAGTGCAGTGGCCCAAGGACTTGGACCATCTTCTACTGCTTTCCCAGACCATAGCAGAGAGCTGGATCAGAAGTGGAGCAGCCAGGACTTGAACTGGTTCCCATATGGGATGCCTGCACTACAGGCAGCAGCTTTACTCGCTATGTCACAGTGCTGGCCCCTTAAACTGGAATCTTAAGCTCTCAGGTTTTAGTTTCATAGTGCATAATGTACAACATATATACTTAGTTTCCAAAAATTTTACTGAGATATTATTATAAATTTAAGTCTTAATGTCTATTCACTATATATTCTTTATATTCCAGTTATAAGTCATCAGCAACTAAGTGTAAACAGTTATAGATAATGGTTCATATAGTACCTAGCACACAATGGACATTTGATAAATCAACTGAATTTAAATGGCAACATTTTCTAAATGTGCTACTTAGTAAAATAAAAAGCTTACACTTTAAGTAAGACACTTAAATAGCTCTTAGAAAATGGTATTCTGTTTTCTAGTTGTCAGATCTGTTTAATATTCCAGGCTAATAGCAGAGCTAATTTTGAATATTTTCTCACAGACTTACATGTGAAAGTCAACAGACAGACCCTTGCCACTTGTGTGAAGTGGCTATTTAGCCATGAAATAAACTATTTTTATTGCCATTGCCCTGCAGATATGTTCTTTCTGGCAGTGCTGTCCATATTTGGTGGCTCTGCATGGAGCGCCAGGTGGTGCTGAAAAGCATCGCACAGTGAAGCGTGGATGTTTCTAGGGCTGACATTTGTTATCCCTTACTGCTGAAGGGAAGGGGAAAATCTGTTTTTCCATATGTTTATGCTTTTTTTTTGCCTGCAGTTTTGTCCAGATGGTCTTATGAACATTGTTTACTTTGGGATGCTATCCCAGATGTTTTGAAAACTGATGGATAAATGTGGTACACAGATACATAAATCATTTGGATATTATGGTTCTAAAAGTGTTATTTATTTTGGTAAGATAAAATAAAATTTATTTCTGAGAATATTTTTCCAAATGAATAATGCGTATCTACTTTAAATATTTATAGTTATTTATAGTTTACTTCTTCAGCCATTCTGTTTTTATGCTAAAAAGCTAAAAAATATTATAGCAATATTTGTTAAGAATTTTGAATAAATACTTTTGAGGAGTCATATTTGTTCAGGGCTGCATAGACTCAAATCTGTAAGAATATTGCACCACTGTCTTTCATAATTCTCATTGTACATAAATCACCGAAGAGAATTTGGGTGGTAAAATGACATTGAATTTAGATCAGAAGATTATCCTTGTGACTTTGGACAAATCCCTTGAAATATCAGAGACTGAGTTTTATAAATGTGAGACAATAGTTAACAACTTACCTGAAAAGATGGAATAATGCTTGGATTTAAATATGCTTTTATTTTAAATCCCTTAAAAATCATTATGATGCTATCTGTTGGCAACAGCAATATGAGAGTCTGAATCAGCCTTCTAGGCTCTAGGTAGAATCTTAGATATAAATTAGAGGCTGACATATTAGCAGTTCAGAAACCCAATGAGAAATAAGAGGTAAATCTGAGAAAAAATACGTAGTGCATACAGGAAATAAGGAGAAGAAAAATAGAGGCAGATAAACAAAGGACATGAAGGAGGGTGGCTTATGAATATGTGGATTTTGACACAAACAACCAGGGCTGGGCCAGGGTGAAGCCTGGAGCCTTTTCCATATCTCCCACGAGGGTGGCAGAGGCCATCTTCCATTGCTTTTCCTAGGCCATTAGCAGGGAACTGGATCGGAAGTAGAGCAGCTGTGACTTGAATGGGCACCCATATAGGATGTCAGCATTGCAGGTGGTAGCTTTACCTGCTGTGCCACAACGTCAGCTCCTTACATTGAACTTATAAATCATCTGCAAGTTATTTTGTATTATATTTAAAGTATTATATTTAAAATGTTCCTTATAATATTTAAAATGAATTTAGGTTAATTGTTCTAGCAATAATGAATAACAACAAAGACATCCCTATTTATATCCTTGACCTTTTGGGAACACTTTTTCAGGGAGACAGTGTTTTAACTTTAAATAGTATATTTAAACTATCAAATGATATTTAATTTTGCCTCTTATTTAGTTATGCTTTCTCTAACTTATAGGTGCAGTTTCTAGGCTCATGAAACTTTGTGAAGAAAAATGTGAAACGAGTGAAATAAAGAAGGGAAGAAAAAGCAGCAATGGATCATCTGTAAAAGGAATTACAAATTTAGGAAATACTTGTTTTTTTAATGCAGTCATTCAGGTAAAAGTCATCAGAAAGATTGGCAAAATGTAGCAGATTGTCCTAATTTATATGGCCATTGGCACACCTGTACACTTTCAGACAACTGCTCAGTGTTCCTGTAGAAATTTCTCTGTTTTTATTTTGCTTATTTACAAGAGTGCTTATCATCACATATACCTTCTTTACATACAGTGCTTCAGAAAGGTCATGTGTATAATATTTTACCAGGGATTTATTAGTAACAGTGACATGTACTGAGTATGAATATGTTCAATTTAAAACTTTTTTTGAAGTAGACATTTTTGGTATCCTGGATGAAATTTGAGAGAGTATTTATTTCATAAAATCAGAGGCATACCATAACCAAATTAGAAAACTTTACATTTCTTTTCTTTAGAACTTGTCACAGACTTATATCCTGACTGAACTTATGAATGAGATGAAAGAAAACGGTACAAAATTCAAGATTTTTCCTTCCTCAGACTCTCAGCTGGTAAGTGTAACTGTCTGGATAATAGCTGTTTTCAGATGAGCTGCTGATATTGCCAAAATCTATCCTACCTGTTTCTGAGAACTATCAACTAGAATGGTAGTCAGAGGACTTTAAGAAAAAATAATAATAATCTGGGGCTTGTGACGTGGTGTAGTAGGTTAAGCCTCCTCTGTAACACCAGCATCCCATATGGGCACTGGTTTGTGTCCTGGCTGCTCCTCTTTGGATCTAGCTCTCTGCTAATGGCCTGGGAAGGCAGTGGAAGATGGCCCAGGTGCTTGGCCCTCTGCAACCTCGTGGGAGACTCAGAGGAAACTCCTGACTTTGCATTGGCCCAGCTCTGGCTCTTGTGGCCATTTGGGGAGTGAAGCAGCAGATGGAAGACCTTTCTCTGTCTCGCCCTCTCTCTGTCTGTAGCTTTGCCTCTCAAATAATATAAATAAATAAATTTTAAAAACAATAATAATAATAATTCAAAAGGATTTTTTTAAAGATTTATTTACTTGAAAGAGTTACACACAGAGAGGAGAGGCAGAGAGAGAGAGGTCTTCCATCTGCTGGTTCACTCCACAATTGGCTGCAACGGTTGGAGCTGTGCCGATCCGAAGCCAGGAGCCAGGAGCTTCTTCTAGGACTCCCATGTGGGTGCAGGAGCCCAAACACTTGGGCCATTTTCCACTGCTTTCCCAGGCCATAGCAGAGAGCTGGACCAGAAGTAGAGCAGCCGGGATTCGAACCGGCACCCATATGGGATGCCGGCACTGGAGATGGCAGCTTTACCCACTACGCCATAGGGCCGGCATTTTGTGGGTGCTGGCTTTGTGGTTTGGTGGTTTAAGCCATCAGCTCCAATGCTAGCATCCCATATCAGAGCATTTGTTCAAGTTCTGGCTGCTCTTTTCTGAGCTAGCTCTCTGGTGAAGAGCCTGAGAAGGAAATGGAGAATGGCTCCAGTACATGGGTCTCTGTCACACACATTGGAGACCTTGATCGAGTTCTGGGCTCCTGCCTGGCCCACTCCCAATTATCACAGCCATTTAGGAAATAAACCAATGAATGGAAGATTTCATTCTTCCTGTTTCTTCCTCTCTCTCTGTCACTTTGCCTTTCAAATACACAAATCATTTTTTAAAAACCATTTTGTGAAATGCTCAGATTTTAAATTTCTGAAATCATAACTTTAAGATATGCTTATAGTTCAAACATGCCATGAATCAAACAGTACAAAGATATTGAAGCACTTTGAAAACAAACACACTGAGAAAAACAAAGAGTTTGACTTTTGTTGTGTAAAGTGCTTGGGACTTCTGTTTTGCAGTTACTGGTTATATTTGTTTAAATTTAGCATTTTTTGTTCTTTTAAAGTGGTTTCAATGGTGTGACTATTTCTACAATAAAATATTTATCTTGAAAGTTAGCATAAATACCATGTATTGCTCAATTTAAGTCTTTGTAGGTGTCCTATAGATAGAATAGGTTAAATTTTTTTTAAAGATTTATTTACTTATTTGAAAGGCAGAGTTACAAAGAGGCAGAGGCAGAGAGAGAGAGAGGTCTTCCATCTGCTGGTTCATTCCCCAAATGGCTGCAGTGGTCAGAGCTGTGCCGATCCCAAGCCAGGAGCCAGGAGCTTCTTTCAGATCTCACACACAGGTGTAGGAGCCCAAGGACTTGAGCCATCTTCTACTGCTTTCCCAGGCCATAGCAGTGAGCTGGATCAGAAGCAGAGCAGCCAGGACACGAACTGGAGCCCATATGGGATGCCAGCACTATAAGTGGCAGCTTTACCCGCTATTCTACAGCACTGGTCCCATAATAGGTTGATTTTAATAGTGAGCATGTAAAAGTTTTCTAAAGCTAATCTGATGATGGATTTTTAAACTAGTGAAAAGGAAGGGAAAACAAAAGCAAAAGCAAAAAGCTGCTGCTGTTATTCAGGAGCTAGTTGGCACCAATAGCTAGAATTCTGTTATTTAAATAATCTCATAGAACACCAACTTCAGATGAGATTCACTGAGATTGTGATAAAATGAGACAGAGCAGGGCTGCTTCATAATTTTTTCTAAACATAAAGAAGGTCACTCTGATATTTAGAAAATCCCAAGCACCCTTTCTTGGTCAAAAGGAAAAATGAGTGACTTTTTTTTTTTTAAGAGATTTATTTTATTTGTTGGAAAGAGTTAGAGAAGTAGAGACAGAGAGACAGAGAGAGATCTTTCTTCCATTCCGCTAGTTCATTCCCTAAATGGCCGCAAAGGCCAGAGCTGAGCCGATCCGAAGCCAGGAGCTTCTTCTGGGTCTTCTTTGGGTGCAGGGGCCCAAGCACTTGGGCCATCTTCTACTGCTTTCCCAGGCCACAGCAGAGAACTGGATCAGAAGAAGAGCAGCTTGGACTGGAACCGGCACCCATATGGGATGCTGGCGCTTCAGGCCAGGGCTTTAACCCACTGCGCCACAGCACCAACCCCTGAGTGACTTCTTTACCAATTATAGTTTGATCCTTGATCTAGTCTCCTCCTTGCTATAGATGTGATTTATTGAGATGGCCAATCATAACATTACCTCCAAGTTGTGGTGGCATCTAACCTAGAGTTAATCTCCATTCCGTAGACTCTCCCACTCCAAATTACCCAAACCAAGCCCAAGTCCTTTGTGGGTTCTTTATAATACCCTCGTACTGAAATACTCCCTGGCCACCATGGCATATGTCCTCTCCCTCATAACGATAGTAATATACCCATGTTACTTAATCACAGATGTGTTCCTGATGGACATTAACCGGAGGGCATCAGTCAGTGTTAGAAGTCAGGCATATTAGTAATCAGTGCAAAATATTATTTTTGAAATCCATGAATAAGAGCTCAAAAAGTTAATAGAAAATACATATTGTGAAAAATAGGCATGGATTTCAGTTTTTTTTTTTTTTTTTTTTTTTTTTTTTTTGACAGGCAGAGTGGACAGTGAGAGAGAGAGACAGAGAGAAAGGTCTTCCTTTTGCCGTTAGTTCACCCTCCAATGGCCACCGCGGCCGGCGCACCGTGCTGATCCGATGGCAGGAGCCAGGTACTTATCCTGGTCTCCCATGTGGGTGCAGGGCCCAAGGACTTGGGCCATCCTCCACTGCACTCCTTGGCCACAGCAGAGAGCTGGCCTGGAAGAGGGGCAACTGGGACAGAATCTGGCGCCCCAACTGGGACTAGAACTCGGTGTGCCGGCGCCGCAAGGCGGAGGATTAGCCTAGTGAGCCACGGGCCAGCCTGGATTTCAGATTTCTTTTTGCACCAAAGTAAACATATTTTTGATTCCATCCTTCAGTGAACTTCTGGAAGTACCCTTGTATTTTAGAAAACAAAACTTGGAGAGGAAAGCTGGGTGTTTGGCACACCAGATGAGATACTGCTTGGGATGCCAGTATTCCACACTAGAGTGCCTAGTTCTAGCCCAGCTCTTCTTCCAATTCCAGCTTCCTGCTAATGCATACCCTGGGCAGCAGTTGGTGGTGGCTCACATACCTGGCTCCCTGCCAACCATGTGGAAGATTCACACTGAGTTTTAGAATCCTGGCTTCAGCCTGGCCCAGCCCTGGCTATTGTTTTTGAAAAATGAACCAGTAGGTGAAAGATCTCTGTCTATCTCTCTCTGTCTGCCTTTCAAATAAAAATAAATAAGTGAATGTATATAGTTGACAATTCAACATTAAAATTTTTTTAAAAAAAACTTGGGAAGGAAATTCTAAAATAAAATGTTAATCTTTCATACAATATTAACTGCTTTTTGTCAAGGTTTGTCTCCTTTTTAAAAGAGGGGTGTGTTATATTGATTTTGCCACAATAATTCTTAGTTTTATTAGAAAAATATTTGGGTCCTGGAAATATGTGGAATTTTGCTAATAAATAAATTTGTGATTATTTGTGAAGATGTACAAATAGCAACATTAGTAATTTTACTTGTAGGAGAGGCCTTTGAAGGGATAATCACATGCAGTGAAAAATTGGTGATTTCATTCAAGCTAATGGTTTTATTAAGTAAAGGGTAGAGGGCATGAAAATCCCTGTACTTCTTAAGGCAAGGCATTTAATCCTGTTTTCTCTTTTCCTATATTTATTTTGTATATGAAGGAATAAAATTTCTTTATATTCTTGAGTTTATTTAGTGTATATTGTGCAGCTCTTTAGATATTATTTAATAATATTTTAAAATTGCTGACCTGGAATTAATCATGTTTTTAAAGGACCCATTGGTGGTGGAACTTCCAAGCCCTGGCCCACTGACCTCAGCCTTGTTCCTGTTTCTGCACAGCATGAGGGAGACTGAAAAAGGACCACTTTCTCCAAAAGTTCTTTTCAATCAGCTTTGTCAGAAGTGGGTACAGTTAGATTTTTAATGTAAATAATGATGCGATCCTAAATACTGATGTATTCATCATGTAAGGTTTACCCTAACTTTGCTATTACTGCCTGGACTGTGAAGAGAAAGAACTAGTCACTGTTGGGATGCCAGCACTGCAGGCAGTGGCTTTACCTGCTGCGCCACAGCACCAGCCCCAATTTGTATCTATTTTCTAACATCATTCTGTTCCATTGATTGTTGTGTCTGTCTTTACCTCAAATACTACACTGCCCTGATTACTGTAGCTTCATAATAAGTCTTGCAATCGGGATATTTGAGTCCTTGAATTTTGCTGTTTCTCAAACTTTCTAGATCCTTTGCTTTATTATATGAATTTTAGGACCAGGTGGTCAATTGGGTTTGTATCAAATGTATAAATTTGGGGAGAGCTGACTGATATCTTAACAATAGCAAATCTTCCAATGACTGTTTCTTTTCAGTTATTTAGGCCTTTGTTTTTTCTCATCAACATTTGCAGTTTTCAGCATGTAAAGTCTGCATATATTTTGTTTGATTTACCTTAAGAATATCATGTTTTTATGTTATTTATTATAAATGACACTTAAATTTTTTTTCCATTTCCAGTTCATTGCTAATACATAGAAATATATTTGGTTTTTATATATTGACCTTGTTTCTTGTTACCTTGTCCAATTCACTTGCTATTCCTTCAGGTTTTCTGTAGATTCTTGAGAATTTTCTTTCAGAAAATAATGTCATTGTCTAATGAAGATCAATTTCTTAATTTTCAAGCTATATCTTTTCATATCTCTTTTTTTAGAGTTTTTTTTTTTTTTAACATTTGACAGGTAGAGTTATAGACAGTGAGAGAGAGAGAGAGAAAGGTCTTCCTTCCGTTGCTTCACTCCCCAAATGGCTGTTACAGCCAGCGCTGCGCTGATCTGAAGGCAGGAGCCAAGTGCTTCTTCCTGGTCTCCCATGCGGATGCAGGCACCCAAGCACTTGGGCCATCGTCCACTGCCTTCCTGGGCCACAGCAGAGAGCTGGACTGGAAGAGGAGCAACCAAGACTAGAACCTGGCGCCCATATGGGATGCTGGCGCCACAGGTGGAGGATTAGCCAAGTAAGCCACAGTGCTGGTCCCTTTTTCATCTCTTATCACTGGAACCTCAGTGTAATGTTAGAATATTGAAGGGGGCATCCTTGCCTTGTTCCTGATATTGGGGAGAACATTCACTCTTTCAAATTTAAGTAAGATAATAATAACTATAGGCTTTTTCATAGAAGTCTTGTATCAAGTTGAGGAAATTCTCATTTATTCCCTAGTTTTCCTGGAAGTCTTATTAAGGATGACTATTAAATTTTTTCAAATGCTTTTTCTTTTATTTAAAAAAAAAATATTTTAATTTTAGGGGCTGGCGCTGTGGCGCAGCGGGTTAACGCCCTGGTCTGAAGCGCCGGCATCCCATATGGGCGCTGGTTCAAGACCCAGCTATTCCACTTCAGATCCAGCTTTCTGCTGTGGCCTGGGAAAGCGGTGGAAGATGGCCCAAGCCCTTGGGCCCCTCCCAAATGGGAGACCTGGAGGAAGCTCCTGGCTCCTAGCTTCGGATCGGTGCAGCTCCAGCCGTTGCGGCCAATTGAGGAGTGAACTATTGGATGGAAGACCTCTCTCTCTCTCTCTCTCTCTCTCTCTCTCTGCCTCTCCTCTCTGTGTAACTCTTTCAAATAAATAAATAAATCTTAAATTTTTTTATTTTAATTTTTTTATTTGAAAGGCAGAGTTACAGAGAGAGACAGGAAGAGACAGAGATAGAAAGAGAGATCTGGCCGGCGCCGTGGCTCAATAGGCTAATCCTCCACCTTGCGGCGCCGGCACACCGGGTTCTAGTCCCGGTCGGGGCGCCGGATTCTGTCCCGGTTGCCCCTCTTCCAGGCCAGCTCTCTGCTATGGCCAGGGAGTGCAGTGGAGGATGGCCCAGGTGCTTGGGCCCTGCACCCCATGGGAGACCAGGAAAAAGCACCTGGATCCTGGCTCCTGCTATCGGATCAGCGCGGTGCGCCGGCTGCAGCGGCGGCCATTGGAGGGTGAACCAACGGCAAAAGGAAGACCTTTCTCTCTCTGTCTCTCTCTCTCACTGTCCACTCTGCCTGTCAAAACATAAAAAAAAAAAAAAAGAAAGAAAAAAAAAAAAAAAAAAGAAAGAGAGCTCCCCAAATGGCCACAATGGCCAGAGCTGGGCCAGTCCAAATCTAGGAGCCAGGAGCTTCTTCCATGTCTACCACATGGGTTCAGGGGCCCAAGCACTTGGGTCATCCTCTGCTGCTTTCCCAGGCCCATTAGCAGGGAGCTGGATTGGAAGCGGAGCAATTGGGACTCGAACCATTGCTCATATGGGATGCCTGCACCACAGGTGGCAGCTTTACCTGCTATGCCACAATGCCTGCCCTCTTTTTCCTTTCTTTTCTTTTTTTTTTAATATTTATTTATTTGTTTGAAAGGCGGAGTTAGAGACCAAAAAACAGAGTTCTTCCACCTGCTGGTTCACTCCCCAAATGGCCACAATAAAGCGAGGAGCCAGGAGCTTTATCCAGGTCTCCTATGTGGGGGGCAGGGGCCCACATACTTGGGCCATCTTCACTGTTTTTAGGCCATTAGCAGGGAACTGTATTGGGAGTGGTAAAGCCAGGACACTAACTGGTGCACCATAGGTAGTGGGTTAACCCACTGTGCCATAACACCAGCCTCTCATATGCTTTTTCTGCATCTGTTGAAATACCCATGTGGCTTTTTGTTTGTATGTTGGACTAGTAAATTGTATTGATGAATGTTCTGAAAAACTTCACTGAGTTACACCTTTAAACTTTTTAAAAATTTTTCATATTTAGTTGAAAGAGATGGAGATAGAAGGAGAAAAAAATTCCCCTCTGCTGGTTCACTCTCCAAAATATTCACAAAACCCGAGTCTGTGCTGGGCCAAAGCCAGGAGCCTGAACTCAGTCCCCGTCTCTCATGTGGGTGGCAGGGACTCAAGTGCTTGAGTCATCATCTGCTGCCTCCCAGGGTATGTTTTGGCAGGAAGTTGGATTGGATTCAGAGTAGCTGGGATTTGAAACAGACACATTGGTATGGGAGGTAGGCATCCCAGTTATTGACTTAACTTCATCTGCTGTGCAAAATGCCTATTGCTGAGTCATACATGACATACAATAAACTACACATTTTTGAAGTATTATATGGTTAAGTTTTGACATACGTATGTATTTGTGACATATGTGTATACATTGTCACAGTCAGGACGATAATGGTATCTCTCACTCTCAGAAGTTTCCTCAGGCCCTTTAGTAGTCCCTTTCTCTGAGCACCTTACCATTTACCTGTTACTTGTTGCTATAGACTATTGTGTATTTTTTTTAGAATACCTTATAAATGGCTACAGACACTAAGTACTCTTTGTTACCTGGCTTCTTTTACTTGGCATAGTTATTTTGTGATTTGTCCATGTTTTGTGTATATATTGATTGATTTTTGGAAGTTGAACTGGTCTCTTGATATTTCTGCTTATCAGACACTTGAACCACTTGTGATAAGTTTACTTGGAAGCAAATTCTTCAGCTTTCTTGTCTTTTTTTTTTTTTTTCTTTTCTTTAAATACCTTTTTATTTTAAAGAGTGTGAATGGAGCCTGGTGCTGTGGCATCAGGGGCTAAGACTTACTCCGCCTGCTGTGCCAGAATCCCATATGGTTGCCAGTTTGAGTCCTGGGTGCTCATCTTCCAGTCCAGCTCTCTGCTTATGGCCTGGGAAAACAATGGAAGATGGTCTAAGTCCTTGGGCCCCTGCACCTGTGTGGGAAACCCAGAAGAAGCTCCTGGTTCCTGGCTTTGGCTCAGCTTCAGCTGTTATAGCCATTTGGGGAGTGAACCTGTGGTTGGAAGACCTCTCTCTCTGTGTGTGCGTGTCTCTCTCTCTGTAACTCTGTCTCTTGAATAAATAAATCTTTAAAAAAAAAAGCCTTTTAAGATTTCAAGGAGTTATAAAAATAGTACAAAGTTCCTGTGTGCTCTTCTGCCAGCTTCCCTCAACAATAACATCTTATATAACAACAATGCCTTGTCAAAACCAGAAAAGTCAAATGCCTTGTCAAAAACAGTATTAACCACTTTGATACAGATCTTAGTTGTATTTCACTGGTTGTATTTCATGCCCTTTCACTTCCTGTAGTCTTCTATGTTATTAGTGTGTGTGATGTGGCGAGCTTTTTGCAGAGGGAGGTTTGTCCATGAGGAATTGCAATCAACTAGATAAAATTTATGCTAACAAAGACATATAAACCAACTCAGAGTCATAAAAATCCTAGTTTTTGATCATCTGTGGTGTGGTATACTTTAAAGAGTGCCACCAAAATTTCAAGGGAGACTAAAATAGAGTACTCTATACTGTAGTATTGTGGGTGTTGCCTCAATAATATCTTCTCATTTACTAATTCACCCATCATCTGTGTTTAGTTTAGAATGTACACACTTAAGAGACCACAACTATGTTTCTTAAGTGGGTGGCAGGGACCCAAGTATTTGAGCCTTCATCTGCTATATCCAAAGGTGCACATTCGCAGGAAGCTGTATCAGAAGCAGAGTACTAAAACCAGGTACTCCTATATGGGATGCAAGCATTCCAAGAGAAGTCTTACTGCTATGCCAAATGCCTGCCCCAGTCTGTGGTGTTTTTTGTTTGTTTGTTTTAAGATTGATTGATTTATTTATTTATTTATTTATTTGAAAGAGCTGCAGAGAGAGAAGGGAGAGAGATCGATCTTCTGTCTGCAACAACTGGGGCTGGGCCAATCCGAAGCCAGAAGCCCCTTTTTGGTCTCCACATGGGTTGCAGCAGCCTAAACACTTGGGCCATCTGATGCTTTTCTCAGGCCGTTAGCAGAGAGCTTGATCAGAAGTGGAGCAGCCAGGACATGAACCAGCACTCATATGGGATGCCAGCATCCATAGGTGGCAGCTTTACCCACTACACCACAATGCGAGCCACCCCAGTGTGTGTTTTAATATAAAGACTCAGGCTTTTCTTTTGATTAAAATAAGAATATAATCAATCACAGTAACTGAGGTTTGAATACTGTTCTTTGGCTAGCTCTATGACCTTGCAAGTTATTTAAATAGTCCCTCTCAGTGCTTATGGGTAAGCTTTAGAAAAGTATATCCAAACAAGGTTGCATATAAAGCTCCTAGTATCATGCCTGACATGTATGTAGTAGTTCCTTGATAAATGACAGCGGATCATCCTTAGTGGACACTTAAGATCTCATTCTAATTGAACTAGTAATCCCATTTTCTTTCTACTTAGTTGAGAAAATAGTAAACTGAATGTTTGACTGTGTTACTTCACTGTAGTTTTAAATAAGGATAACATTATTGATAAATCATGGAATGATTTTTTTCTTTCCTCTTTTGTTTTTAACTCATAGGGCACCTCGATTTAAAGATTTCCAACAACAGGACAGTCAGGAGCTTCTCCATTACCTGCTGGATGTAGTGAGGACAGAAGAAACGAAGGTTAGATCCCTTTATATTTATCATGTATCCTCTTTGAGAAGACAATACAAACTGGAAGTATTCATTTCTACTATAGCTTAAAAAGTTATGTATTTGAGACACAGTGAAGCAAGGGTCCCATCTACAGGTTCAGTTCCCATATGTCTGCGATAGACAGGACTGGTCTAAGCCAAAGCCAGGAGCCAGGAACTCCCATCTGGGTCTCCCATTTGGGTAGCAGGAACCCAATTACTTGAGCCCAAGGTCTGCACTGGTGGGAAACAAGTCAGGAGCCGTGGCCAGAAATTGAACTCAGGTACTCTAGTTTGGGATGTGGGCATCTTAACTACTAGAATCACCCCTCCCCCCTGGTTTCCCCTGTGATTTTAAAGTGTGGTTAAGACATTATTTTTTAAAGTAAATATTCTATGTATAATTCCTTTTTTCCTCTTTTTGCAAGATTTCCTTTTAACCTGTTATAGCCATGTTGCCCTTTATTAGTTAATGTCCTTTGACTATAAAGAAAATAAATTCGAACTGTTTAAAAAAAGAAAAGAGAGTCTTAAAAGTTCAGGTATCCCGAGATATAGTGATGACTTGTCAGGAATCCAGGAAGCATTCTCCATGTTCCCTGGCTGTAGATCATCCTCATTTATTTCTCTGTAGATTGAGTAGTTTCTCTGCTTGCTTGTCTGAATTGTAGCACAAGACACCCTCCTGATAATTAGGTGGTGGTGTTCTTCCACTTCCAGAAGGTCAACAAGCAAAATGCCTTGAGCATCACTAAAAAGTCTTGCCATGACCTTTACTCTTGACTGATCAATTTTTGCTGGGCCTAGACCATTTCTACCATTTGGTGGCCATTGCTTTTATGCTTTGACTACCATACTGATAAAGCTTTTTCATCTCCTGTTATAATTCTTGGCAGTATCTTGATCCCACTTGTTAAAATGTCACTAAAAGCTCTGTTCTTGTCTGCAGCACTTCTGGGTTTAACAATTTTGGCACTCAAAGAAAAGAAAGATTGCTCCACTTTAATTTTTCGATCACAATTATGTAAGCTGAATCAGCTGATATGCTTATGGTGCTGGTTATTGTTTCTGCTGTTAATTATCAGTCCTCTTCTGTTGGAGCATGAACAAGATTAGTATTTTCCTTGACAATTGATATGTATGATCCACTACTGTGTACTTCATCTTCAGTATTGTCTCATTACTTCCTTTTTTAATTTTTAATTTTTATTTATTATATTTGAAAGACAGACTTACGGAGAGAGGTAGAGACAGAGAGAGGTCGTCCATCCAGTGGTTCACTCCCTAAATGGCCACAATGGCCTTAGCTGTGCTGATCCAAAGCCAGGAGCCAGGAGCTTCTTCTCTCTCTCGGTCTCTAACACTCTGTCTTTCAAATAAATAAAATAAATCTTTAAAAAAGGAAATTATTTTGATAGAAAAATAGGTTTGAAATCCATGTGTGGTTTTTTTCATAATTTTCATTTTCCATGAGCTTTTTGAAGACTCCTATATAAAAACTAAATTGTGTGTCCCAGTTTTAAATTCCTGTAGAGAAAAACTTTATTATCCCATGTTGGACTTGTTGCACTTTGGGATCAATCCCTTGTGTCCAGGAGAGTGAAGTTCCAGCCTTACAGATCAGAAACCTTTTCTCAGAAAGAAAAGAATAAATCATGGACTGCATATATTTCTCCAAATGATGTTCATTGGGATTCTAACCATCTTAATTGAATGGCTGTTATTAACTTTAACATTAAATTAGTTAAATTTAATTTCATTGGCGGGAGGGTCCTATGCAAGTAGCTTAATATTTATCAGAGAAAATGGAAGATATCAAACATGTTAAATAAATAGCACACATCTCCACTTCCCTCCTTTGTCACTCATAGCAGACATTGCTAACATTCTCAACAGTAGATTCAACTCAGCATTATTTTCTGAGCCTAGCATGGTGGACCACGCCTGTCCATCCTAATTGGTGTAATAGGTGAATACTTCTTTTCCATGCAAGAAAATAACAATTTTTCATCATATGTAAAGCAGGAAAGTATAAATGAAGTGCTCTTATGCTTGTGATAAGTGTTTTTAAGCAAGATCAACCCTGCCCCCAAAACCCTTTTTAAAAAAGTAAATACTGGGGCCGGCGCTTTCGCACAGCGGGTAAAGCCGCCACCTGCAGTGCCGGCATCCCATATGGGCACCGGTTCAAGACCCTGCTGTTCCACTTCCAATCCAGCTCTTTGCTGGCCTGGGAAAGCAGTAGAGGATGGCCCAGGTCCTTGGGCCCCTGCTCCCACGTGGGAGACCCAGAGGATGCTCCTCTCTCTCTGCCTCTCCTTCTCTCTCTGTGTAACTCTGACTTTCAAATAAATAAATCTTTTTTTTTTTTGACAGGCAGAGTTAGACAGTGAGAGAGAGAGACAAAGAGAAAGGTCCTTCTTTTTCTGTTGGTTCTTCCCCCAAATGGCCACCACGGCCAGCGCGCTGAAGCCAGTGCGCTGCACCGATCCAAAGCCAGAAGCCAGGTGCCTCCTTCTGGTCCCCCGTGGGGGTGCAGGGCCCAAGCACTTGGGCCATCCTCTACTGCCTTCCTGGGCCACAGCAGAGAGCTGGACTGGAAAAGCAGCAACCGGGACAGAATCCGGCGCCCCAAGTGGGACTAGAACCCGGGGTGCTGGTGCCACAGGCGGAGGATTAGCCTAGTGAGCTGCAGCGCTGGCCAAATAAATAAATCTTAAAAAAAAAAAAATTTCATTGGATTGATTAGGTGTCAATATTACATATTTATTTAAAAATAAATAAATACTGCAGTGTTCCAGCTCAAAGTAGTACCTTTTTACTTCTTTTTATTTTGGACAGGCAGAGTTAGACAGTGAGAGAGAGAGAGAAAGGTCTTCCTTTTTCCATTGGTTCACCCCCCAGATGACTGCTATGGCCGGCGCGCTGCGCAGATTTGAAGCCAGGAGCCATGTGCTTCCTCCTGGTCTCCCATGTGGGTGCAGGGCCCAAGCACTATGGGCCATCCTCCACTGCCTTCTTGGGCCACAGCAGAGAGCTGGACTGGAAGAGGAGCAACCAGGACAGAATCCGGCGCTCCAACCAGGACTAGAACCTGGGGCGCTGGCCTCTTTTTACTTCTAATGCTAGTTTTCAATGAAGAGAGATTTAGGGTTCTAATATTTTCTTATTTTTATTTTTAAAGATTTTTATTTGTTTATTTGAGAGGCAGAGTTACAAAGAGAGGGAGAGACAGAGAGGTCTTCCTTCTGCTAGTTTATTTCCCAAATAGCCACAACAGCCAGAGCTGAGCTGGGAAGCCAGGAGCCAGGAGCTTCTTCTGGGTCTCCCCATGTGGGTGCAGGGACCCAAGGACTCAGGCCATCCTTCCACTGCTTTCCCAGGCCATTAACAGGGAGCCAGATCAGAAGAGGAGCAGCTGGGACATGAACTGGCGCCCTTATGGGATGCTGGCACCACAGGTGGAGGCTTAGCCTATTATGCCACAGTGTTGGTCTCTGCTTTTATATTTTGATTATGAACCATGCTGCCTTCTATATAGATCTGTGTCATTCTCTGTCACTTCCCTTACATTGTGGTCTCCTTGAGGAATGGTGTTGTACCATGTGCAGCCCATGTGCTGTGTTCTTACTAGGGTTTTCTGAGTGTCTGTGGAATGACAACTTCATTTGAGAATTTGAATTGGGAAGAAAACCAGAATAGTCTCGTAAGTAAATTATACTAGCTGGTTTCTTGAGGATTTGTAGTGGTGTTGATTATGTTGTGAGTTGAAAAAAGTGAGAAGTGACAGTATAATACTGTGTTATGTTTTACTTGTATTTTTATTTTTTTAAGATTTATTTGTTTATTTGAAAGGCAGAGTCACAGAGAAGCAGAGGCAGAGAGAGGGAGAGAGAGAGAGAAGCCTTCCATCTGCTGGTTCAGTCCCCAACTGGCTGCAACCGCAGGAGCTGGGCTAATCCAAAGCCAGGAGCTTCTTCTGGGTTTCCCATGCGGGTGCTGGGGCCCAAGAACTAGGACCATCCTCTACTGCTTTCCTAGGCTGTAACAGAGAGCTGGATCGGAAGTGGAGCTGCCAGAACTTGAACTGGCATCCATATGGGATGCCAGCACTGCAGGCAGCAGCCTTACCCATTAGGCCACAGCGCTGGCCCCTGTATTTTGTTTAAAAAAATCGATTAAAGAGATTTATTATTAGTTACATTTTAGGAACGTTAGCATAGTTCCCATGAACTCATATTTGATCACATTTTCTTAAATCCAGAACTAAGTACTTAGAATAGAGTTTAAAATTCAGGTCCTTCTGACTCCAAAATGAACAGTCTTTCTTATATACAATACTATTTTTTTTGCAGTGACCATGACAGCATTTTAATAAGATAACATACTCATTTAACACAGCCTTTTGAGGTTTAGTTTTAGTGCTTAGTCATCCACAATCAGTATAAATAATGTTTTTTTAAATTTTAATTAGTTCACCATTGGAGAAGTATTACATCTGATCCATTAACTGACATATTGGTATGCTTGTTGGGAGAGTTGATCCATCAACTGGATGAGATTGCTCTTTGTACTGAGGATAGTAAATGCAATATGATGCCCCAGGGCATACAGATGATGTAAGAGTTAGTTAAAAAGAAATTAAGGTTGATCATTCTCAGTTGCTGCAATAGTTTTTCTCCCTGCGATTACAGGAATTTGTTTACTACATAATGGTCATGTATGATTGTTGTTTTTAATTACATTTACGTCTTTGCAGTGGGTTTCTCTGTTGATAGAGCAATAAAAATCTATCCCCATCCTTTTTTCTTTTCTCTTTTTCTATTTTGCTTCCATAATTTGACAATAATCTTTGTTACAGTTAAATTACCTCTTGGTCTTAATGGTGCATTGGGATGCACAGTATCTTAAAAACTTACTCAGTACAGCAGGACACGTTGGTTTTGAAAGCTCTTATATTCCTCGGTTTGAGGGTTTTACTGGGTGTGGCAAAATTAAAATGTCGAGTCTGTGGGTCTATTCAGCCTCCTGGGCGAGGAGAGCCGTGGCAGGCAGTTACAGTGCATGCCCAGGCAGGAGCTGCATTGTCTGGCCTGGGAACGCCACAGCTGCTGATCGTGCTGTCGCTGTCGTGTGTCACTGCCATGTGTTTTTTGATTGAAGAAAGGCTACTGTGTTATGTCTGCCACCAGGATCTTTTAGTAATGATTAAAAATTACTGACCTCTTTTCATATGGTTTCATTAACATCTTTTCTTATGACTGTAAAGTTGAAGAGTATATTCTTGCTGAACACAGCACTAAATGGATCATTGACCAGAAACTACAAATTTTTTATTTACAAAATAAATTTGTGAGACTCAGTTCTTTTCCAGGCAGTCTTTTCAACTTATTTGAGGTTCTTTGCTTTTTTTCCTTTTAATTTGAGCTGTCACTAAATTACTCATATTACACTTTTATTATCCTAAAGATATACCACTTTAATACAATGTTGGTTAAGGTCATTTTAAACTGAGCAAAATATCATCTAACTTGAACTGTGCATATTTGCATTCTTGTTTTTGAAAGGTGTTTAAAGTGGAGACTTGAAGTAGCCGTAGTTGAGACTTAGTTCTGCTAACTGATTAATGTGCTGCAGTTAGCAGCTCCCTAACCAAACTCTGTATCATTTTTTTTTTAAACCTAAATGGTTGGAAGCCCAGCTCCCGAGAATGAAATTATATATACATCTAAACCCATTTATTTTATTCAACTTGGTGAATTACCTAGTAACTCTTAAACAGTTTAGAGCAGAAAATATAAGTTCCTGGGGAGGATACAATAAAGCAAATTAAATATTTAAAAGTTAATAATTTAAATAATTTCCTTGTTTTTACTATTTTTATGAATGTGATATCACAGCTATTTAGTTCTTTTTAAAAAGAGGATCATGCTACATTTCAGAATATAACAAAGCTCATCAAATCATTGATAGTTAAGTCTGAGTTAGTAAAATGTTCAAGTTTTATAATAAATTTATAGACTTCAAGGTTGAGGTATAGATTTTTTTTAGTTGTTTGAAAGGCTATTTATAGTTATGTTAACTATTTACAGGTGCACACTGGTATTTTTTTGTAACTTCTTATTTAGATGTGTTAAATATTTCTCCTGTATGGAAATCATACCACTTTAGTTTGCTTATTTTAATTTAATGACTTGTTTTTTCAAAATGTGAAAGTGAACTGTAGACAATTTCTGAATTATATCACTTCAAATTTGTTGATTCTGAATTAGGGATTATTTCAGTATTTCATAGCTCTGGGAAAGTTTTTGTGTTTGTTTGAACAGCAGAAAGAGAGAATTATCTGCTGGCTCACTCCCCAAATGCCTGAGATGGCAAGAGCTGAGCCCAGGACCAGGACTGCTTCTTGGGGTCTGCATTAGCAGGAAGCTGGAGTCAGGAGTTGGAGCTGAGTATCAAACCCAGGTCCTCTGGTGTGGGATACAGGCATCTTACCCACTAGACTAAACGTCTGCCCCTGGGGGACATTTTATTGTTTTGATTTCTTTACCATATATTTCAGGACAATATATATTTTTTAGTGTTTTGAATCTTACATTAACTTTCAAAATATATTTGAAGAGAACAGTGACCAGCTATACAAAATATAATATACTAGTCATAATCCAGTAAATAACATATGAAACTCAGTTTCACAATTTCTGGGGGTGTGTGTGAAAACTTATTTTGAAACATAGTCATATACCATACATAGAAGCATGTTTATAAATATGTAGTTTAAAGAATAACAAGAATAATTTTCCACTGCCATTTCTCTTCATCACCATTTCATGAGTTAAAAAGAGTATCATTAGTGCTTTTTATTTTATTTTTTAAAATAACTTAGCTGTTGTCTATTAATTTATTTGCTTATTTGGAAAATTTGCTATTTATGTGAAAGGTAGAGTTACAGAAGAGAGGGAGAGATAGAGATAGAGATGGAGATGGAGATAGAGAGAGAGAGGGAGTGACAGAGAAAGAGAGAGTGGGAGCACTTGCTTCTGCTGGTTCACTCCCCAAATGACTGTAGCAGGGCTGGGCCAGACCAAAGCCAGGAGCCTAGAACTCTATCTGGGTATTCCATGTGGATACAGGATTCCAAGCACTTGGGCCATCTTCTGCTGTTTTCTTAGGCACATTAAGAGGGAGCTATTTTAGTAGTGGAGCAGCTGGGACTTGAACTGGTGCCCATATAGCAATGCCAGCATTGCAGGCGACATATACTACAGGGATACCTTTCAGTGCTTTGTTTTTTACTTATGGCATTCTGTCCATAGCAAAAGATAGTATACTTCTTTTTTTTTTTTTTTCCACTTAACAGATAGTGCCACTCCCATATTGATGGATAATTGTGATTTTTCATATAAATAATGCTATGATGAATAGTGTTGTATATGTATTTATGTTTCTGTAAAGGAGATTGCTAGAACAACCAATATATACATTGATAATTTCGATTTATCAAATTGCCCTCCATAGGTAGGGGTTACACAATTTTCGCTTTTTAAAAAAATATTTATTGTTTGAAAGGTGGAGTGACAGAGGAGGACACACACACACACAGATCTTCTATCTGCTGGTTCATTCCCTAAGTGGGCCAGGCCAAAGACCAGCCTGAAACTCCATTGGGGTCTCCTAAACTCCATTTGAGTGGCAAGGTGGGCCATCTTCCACTGCTTTCCCAGGCGCATTAGCAGGGAGCTGAATGAGAAGTAGAACAGCCGAGACTCTAGTCAGTGCTAATATGGGATTCAGGCATTGACAATGGAAGCTTAAACCACTATGCCACAATGCCTCTATCCACAGATGGGCCAGACCAAAACCAGGAGCCAGGAACTCAGTCAGATTTTTCACATGGGTGATAGGGGCAAAGCACTGCCCCATCCTCTCTGCTTTCCCAGACACATTAGCAGGGAGATGGATCAGAAGTGAAGTACCTGGAACTCAAACTGGTACTCTGATATGGTATGCTGGTGTTGTGGCCTAACCTGTGGTGGTTGGCATCCCATTTGGGCACCAGTTTGATTCCCAGCACTCCAAACCAGCTCTCTGATAATGTGCCTGGGAAAGCAGCAGAAGATGGCCCAAGTGCTTGGACTCCTGCACCTACGTGGAATACCCAGGTGGAGTTCTGGCTCCTGGCTTCTGTCTGGCCCAGGCTAGGCTGTTGAGGCCATCTGGGGAGTGAGCCAGCAAATGGAAGGTTGGTTCTCTCTCTTTCTCTCTTTCTCTCTCTTTTTTTCTCTCTCTTTCTTTTTTTCTCTCTCTTTCTTTCTCTCTCTTTCTTTCTCTCTCTCTCCCTCCCTCCCTCCCTTCCTTCCTTTCTTCCTTCCTATCTATCTCTTTCTCTTTCCCTCTCTCTCCCTCCTTCCCTCCCTCTCTCCCTGTCTACTTCTCTCCCTCTGTCTCAGTAACTCTTATAAATCTTTAAAAAAATCAGAGTTCGAGTTTAATAGCTTCTTCTATATTATGAAGATTTCCTCATAGACAAGAAATTTCCTATTGTCAGTTTGTCACCTTTTCTTTCCTGATTAAAGAGAGCCATTGTAAGAGAAGGAGGGGGGAAAGTACGAGGGAGAAGGAATAAGCTTAGCTTAAGCCAGTAAGCAAAATGAAACTAGGCTGCTTGCTTTTTGTACTATAAAAATACTTTAAACCCAAGAGAGAGCAGAAACAGGAATTTTGACTCTTGCTTGGGGGAATTTGGCACTAGAGTATTATTCATTCATGACATTTTAGAACTGGAATGACATTTTAAAATTCAGACATTTTATTCTCAGATAAGAGAATGCAACACAAATTGTATCCTGCTGTTTCTGAAAGTCATTTTTTAAAGAAGATATGGCCTGCAATAACTATTACTAATCGAATTCTATTACCTTTGTTTTACAGAGAATACAAGCTAGCATTCTAAAGGCATTTAACAACCCAACTACTAAAACTGCTGATGATGCAACTAGAAAAAAGGTCAAAGGTATGTTGACTTTTTAACTGTCAAAACTTTTTTTCTAGAAGAAAATATTACATTCCTTTCAGGGGAAAAAAAAGAACTTGAGCATTATTTGAACCAGTTCTCTAAAGTAGTGGCCTTAGAAAGTACTTATTCCACCAGCTGCAAGATCTTTTAGTGGGTTATAGAAAGAAAATACGAAAATGTATTCATGTGAATTTTAAATAATAAAACTAACATCAAATACAAATTGACCCTGATGTCCTTTTGTGGGTCTTCTAAGGGAGATTTGACAGGTTGTTGAAAGTAGCCGCAGCCCGACTTGTGTTGTTTTGGAGCTAACAAGTTCTTGTGGATTCATAGACATTATCTAGTTTTAATTAGACAAATTGCTTAATTGCTTCAAATACTCCTGCAAAGAAACTGTTTATTGAAGAGAGTATAGTTTGCCTACTCATAGATTTTGTTGTTCATCAGTCTAAATATGAAACAAAACAATGATTATCTAATAAATGCTGATCATTTATATTGACCAGTGTTGCTGTGTGGGTTTATATCCTATGATATTACCAAGTTACCTTATCTTAAATGTATGTTCTAAATAAAAATATTATTGTATGAATTTTGTCTTTTTTCTAACATTTTTAGTTTTATAGTTTACATAATATTTATTATTTAGAAACAAATACACCTATATTGTTGTACAGTCCAAAATTGTATTATAGGTAAGGGTTCAAGATCTTTAAAGATTTTTGTGTGCTCTTTGTTGTTTTGTGTTGAGATAGCGCCATCTACTGCATTTTAAGAACAAAAACCCAGTGTTTCTGTTCTTTACAGTTTTCAAACCTCTTCTCTTTTTCATCCCTTTATAGTTCTTAACAAAGAACATTAATTTACTGTAGTGTTTTAAAATAACTATAATAATACATCTTAAAATTTATATATGCTAATATGTCTTTTTTGTTATTCAGTGCTTCAAATAATGTTTTAAACAATTTTAAATGTTCAGATGAAACTTATGATAGAAGCCCTAAAAGGCTTGAGAAGAAATTTGAAAGGGGGTGAGATTTGTTAATATGCTTTCTGTCCCATGACTTACTATGGAATTTTTCAATTTCTATTAATAAATGTGGAACAGGATATCTGCCTTATTCAAATCAGTTTCAAGTAAACAGAAAATAGCTGTTATATTGTTGGATGGTTGATTTATTTTTTGCATTAAAAAGTATGATTTTTACAGCATATGGAAAAGAAGGTGTGAAAATGAACTTCATAGATCGGATCTTTATTGGTGAACTAACTAGCACAGTAATGTGTGAAGAATGTGCAAATGTAGGTACTATGGAATTCACTTCAACTTGGAGTAGATTACAACCACATTTTTATTTTCTTTCATATATAATAAGCAGCAGTCATTTTTAAAATTTGCAACAGGTGACTACAAAATAATTCTTGAAAGCATTGTATCTTTTACTTCCAGAAAGTGAACGTGATAATTTATTATTGCTATTCAAGTAAATGCATTTATGCATGTGACTTATTTTTCACCTTGACATACCTGTGAGATTTTTTAACTTGTTTTAATATGACACAATTCGTTAGCTTTCTGTTTGGATTGAAATGGGAGAATAACTTACGAGAATAATTGTGTTGTATTACAAGGCCCAAAATGCAATGCCAATAGAAATAATTTAGGTACCACTAAGGGCAATTCAATCATATTTGACTAAAAGTTATATGAGTAGTTAAGGTTTGTGTTTATGTGTGTATGGACTTGGCTCATCTTTGAATTTAGTGATAAGTTTTATTTTGAATGACATCTTTGACAGCTTAAAGTGTGTATAACTTTTCATAGGTTTTTTAATTGCTTGGTAAGGAAGGAATATTTCTGAAAATGGCTTGAAGTATGATAAACTTAAATTTCAGATTTTCATGATACAAGAAAAAATCTTTCTATCCACTTTCTTATTCCAGATTATGGAGCACTTTCTGTCCTCTCTAGTTTTATAAATATAGGATTATGAACTTTTTCCCCTTCAAGCCTGTCACATTCAGGCACAGAATATGTCAACATGACTGCTAAAATTTCCAGGATAGTCAACATAGCTGATTTCTCCAACATAAAGTAGAAAGTATCTTTAAAATAGAATTATCATAAGGTATCTACAAAACACAGTATCTCTAATTTTTTCATGGCTTTTTCTTAGCATTTCATATTTTATTTAACTTAAAATTTTAAGTTGCCTGTAAAATTTATGTTCTTTGATACTTTACAAAACTACAAGAATATATTAGAATTCTAACTGAAGTTCTTAATCTGTTTTCCTTTTAAGATCTCTACCATGAAAGATCCTTTCATTGATATTTCCCTTCCTATAATAGAAGAAAGGGTAAGGAAATAAAACTAAGTGGAGCTTTTGTGAAGAATATATTCTTTCATTTATAGTGTTTAATCATAGAATGATTGTATTATCAAATATCTTATTCTTTTTCTTTCAACATTTAATTTGGTTTGTATGGTGTGTTTTACATTGAGGTTTGTGTATGAATGCATAAAGTATGGTATAGTTTTAATTCTCAAGGAATTTAAACCCTTGTGCTTTATATGAGGAGATGTCAAAAGGTTCATGAAAAAGTTGAATTTGAAGATGAGTTTATTATGGTGCAAAAATTTTTTGAGGAGTGAGCATGTGATACGATGGTTAAATTGCCACGTGGGATGCTTGCATCCCATATCAGAGTGCTTGTGTGAAGTCCCAGCTATGCCACTTTCTTTTTTTTTTATAGAAAGCTTTTATTTAATAAATATAAATTTCATAAGTACAACTTTTGGATTATAGCGGTTCTTCCTCCCATACCTGCCCTCCCACCCCCAGACTGTCCCACCTCCTACTCCCTCTCCCATCCCATTCTTCATCAAGATTCATTTTAATTATCTTTATATACAGAAGATCAACTTTATACTAAGTAAAGATTTCAACAGTTTGTACTCACACAGACACAAGAAATATAAAGTAATGTTTGAAGACTAGTTTTACCATTAATTCACGTAATACAGCACATTAAGGATAGAGATGCTACATGAGGAGCAAGTACACAGTGACTCCTGTTGTTCATTTAACAATTAACACTCCTATTTATGATGGCAGTGATCACTCGAGGCTCTTGTCATGAGCTACCAAGGCTATGGAAGCCTCTTGAGTCCACAAACTCTGACATTATTTAGACAAGGCCATAACCAAACTGGAAGTTCTCTCCTCCCCTGAGAAAGGTAGCTCCTTCTTTGATGGCCCCTTCTTTCCACCGAATCTCACTCACAGACCTTTCATGTAGGTCATTTTTTGCCACAGTGTCTTGGCTTTCCAAGCCTGAAATGCTCTCATGGACTTTTTAGCCAGATCCAAATGCCTTAAGGGCTGATTCTGAGGCCAGAATGCTGTTTAGGGCATTTGTCATTCTATGAGTCTTCTGGGTGGCCCGCTTTCCATGTTGGATCGTTCTCTCCTTTTTAATTCTATCAATTATTATTAGCAGACACTTGGTTTTACTTATGTGATCCCTTTGACAATCCTATCTTTATGATCAATTATGAACTTAAACTGAGCATTTTAACTAGTAAGATGGCATTGGTACCTGCCCACTTAATGGGATTTGGAGTCCCAGCTGTGCCACTTTCAATATAGCTTCTTGCTAACATGTCCTGCCACTCACATGGGAGAACTGGATTGAGTTCTGGGTTTCTAGCTTCTGTCTGGCCCAGTCCTGGATTTTGCAGTCATTTGGGAATGAACCCGAGGATTAAAGATCTTTCTCCATCTGTCTTTCTGTCTTTCAAATAAAATTAAAATAATAAAAAATTGAAATACATGCAGTATTTTAAAAATAATTTACATTTTCATGAGCTTTTTGAAGATCTCTTCTATTTTGAGTATTAAGAAAATTATATTTCAAGTATATTGAGAATTCTAAAAATTTTTTTTTTTTTTACTAAACAAATTTTGTGTTATATACATGGCATCTACATAGGTTTCAAAGCCTGTGCTTGTGGGAAGAATGAGTAAATACAGAAGTTCACAGGAAAGAGATCATGATCAGTACAGTGGCGTGGTTACTATGGAAAATACTCAGCAACCCAGACCTGCCAAGAAATATTCTTCTTCTAAAGATAAGGTAAAACTGTGAGCATTTGTCAGACAACTGCTTTTTAATGAAAAAAAAAAATCTCAAGCATAAATCAAAGTAGAGAAAATAGTACAGTGAACTTCCTTGTACCCATTTCACAGTAAAAATTATCAACTCATGGATAATCATCCTCTTGCTGTGTCTATCCTATATATATATATATATATTTTTTTTTCCCCCGACAGGCAGAGTGGACAGTGAGAGAGAGAGACAGAGAGAAAGGTCTTCCCTTGCCGTTGGTTCACCCTCCAATGGCTGCCACGGCTGGCGCGCTGCGGCCGGCACACCTCGCTGATCCAATGGCAGGAGCCAGGTGCTTCTCCTGGTCTCCCATGGGGTGCAGGGCCCAAGGACTTGGGCCATCCTCCACTGCACTCCCGGGCCACAGCAGAGAGCTGGCCTCTATCCTATATTTTATTCTTTCCCATCCAGATTATTTTGAAATAAATATGTACTTCAAGGTACATCTGTAAAAGTAAATACCCTTTTAGCAATATAATCACAGTACCATTAGCATATCTAAAAGGTTAATAACTTTTCAATATCACTAAGTATTCAGTCATTTAAATTCCTGCAATTGTCTTGTAAATACTTGGCTTTTGTTTTGCTTTTGCTTTTTGTTTTAAGATTTATTTTATTTTATTTTTAAGATTTTATTTATTTCCTTGAGAGGTAGAGTTACAGGCAGTGAGAGGGAAAGACAGAGAAAGGTCTTCTGTCTGTTGATTCATTCCCCAAATGGCCGCAACAGCTGGAGCTGTGCCGATCAGAAGCCAGGAGCCAGGTGCCTCCTCCCAGTTTCCTACACGGGTCCAGAGGCCTAAGGACTTGGGCCTTCTTCCACTGCTTTCCCAGGCCATAGCAGAGAGCTGGATTGGAAGAGGAACAGCGGGACTAGAACTGGTGCCCATATGGGATGCTGGCGCCGCAGGCGGAGGATTAACCTAGTGTGCCATGGCACGGGCCCCTTTAAGATTTATTTTATTTGAAAGGCAGAGTTACTGAGAGAAAGAGAGACCTTCCATCTGCTGGTTCACTCTAGTGTGATTTTCCTTATTTTGAACTTGATTTTATCTCTGTAATGCATTATCAAGGAAACAAAGTTGATACTACTTATTTTGGTCAAAAAGCAGTGATTGGGCAAACTAAAGACTAGCTACAAATAAGATATTGCCTTCCAGATTTATGCAACCAGGCAATACTATGTTCTAATAGTTTGTGGTTTATCTCTCTTAGCTTTTAGTTTGTTTAAAAATAGTACATTTTCTTTACCGAATCAAAATTTTGAAATATTTGTTAATAGTTGTCTTTGAATAAGCAGTTTACTAAACAAAATATTTTTCCCATGTACATTTAATTATAATTACGGCTATAGATAAAGTAGTCATAATTTCTTCAGTTTCAGTGTGAAATATAACTTGTAGTAACAGAATACAAGATCTAGTACAGATCTTCTAATTGGTTGTATGGATCTAAATAAGACGTTCTAGTTTCTGCCTTCACCAAATGGATAATAATACCTTTCTTAGACCTACTTTGTAGATAAGCAGACATAGATCAAAGCAGCACATTTTCAATGTTTAAAAATCAACAGGTAAGGACTGGCGCTGTGGCCTAGAGGGCTAAGCCTCTGCCTGTGGCGTCGGCATCCCATATGAGCAGTGGTTCAAGTCCTGGCTGCTCCTTTTCTGATCCAGTTCTCTGCTTATGGCCTAGGAAAGCAGTAGAAGATGGCCCAAGTGCTTGGGACCCTGGACGCACTCTGGGAGACCCAGAAGCAGCTCCTGGGTCCTGGCTCAGATAGCCAGTCGTTGTTTTTTTAGTGGTGATCCAAGCTTACTACAGGCAGAGTGGACAGTGAGAGAGAGAGAGAGAAAGGTCTTCCTTTGCCGTTGGTTCACCCTCCAACGGCCGCTGCAGCCGGCGCACCGCATTGATCCGATGGCAGGAGCCAGGTACTTATCCTGGTCTCCCATGGGGTGCAGGGCCCAAGGACTTGGGCCATCCTCCACTGCACTCCCTGGCCACAGCAGAGAGCTGGCCTGGAAGAGGGGCAACCAGGACAGAATCTGGTGCCCCGACCGGAACTAGAACCCAGTGTGCTGGCGCTGCAAAGCGGAGGATTAGCCTAGTGAGCCGCGGCGCCGGCTCCAAGTTCTGTTAATTGTGGACTTTAGGGGAGTGAAACAGAGGGTGAAAGATATCTCTCTGTCTCTCCCTGTCTCTCTCTGTGACTCTGCCTCTCAAATCAATAAATAAGATCTTTGGAAAAAAATATCAAAAGGTAGGGAAATGCTTATGGTTGAATATGCTCCCTGTTAGCCCTGTTCTCTGAAAATTCTCTTGCTTTCCCCACATACTGTTGTTAGTTTCCTGTGTAAAGGGTCACTTTTAAGTTTCAGCTATTTGTTAGTGTACCATTTGTTGTTCTCAACATAGGTATGTTTAAGAAACGGGTCTCAGAGCAACAGTATTCATTCAGTAAGTGTGAAATGGCTACATGAGACTTAATGGCATTTATTTTCAATAAGGTCACAAAGATTCTTTTCTCTGAAAACACTGTTAATTTACAGAATCAACAAATTCATGACAGAAAATGTCAAAGAAAACTCTCACCCGCAGAAGAAAAAACCATTTTCACATACCAGAAAAACGCGGACTTGGACATGGATGGCGCTCCTTCAGTTTCTGCCGGAGCAAGGAGTCCAAACGAAAGCCCCACCGATGGCAGCGGAAAAGAAGCCAGCTGTTCCGAGAGCAGTGTGGAGGCCGACAGCGAGGCCTCCGAGTCAGAAAGCGCTTCCAAGCAGGCGGGGCAGTGCAGATCCCGCGGCAGGCCCTGTGCGCTCACAGATGGGCGCCTGCCTGGTCCACCCGCAGGTACACTGCCATCCACTAAGGAGACCGACAGTGGTGATGAGGCAGTGGCTAACGCCATTTCTGAACTTTGTCTGAGCAGCCCTGAAATTGGAGATGGAGATTTAGACAGAGAAAAGCAGCCACTTAGTATTCCAAATAAGTTAGGTTTTGCAGGGGAGGAGCATGTGAGACCTCACAGTCCCCAGCATGCTTTTCAGACCCTCTCTCAGAGCTACATCACTACTTCCAAAGAATGTTCAGTTCAGTCCTGTCTCTACCAGTTTACGTCTATGGAATTACTTATGGGGAATAACAAGCTTCTGTGTGAGAACTGTACTGAAAAGAAGCAGAGGTACCCAAAGGAAATCAATTCTGCGGGTACGTATTTAGCTTAATTTTCCTTTCTTTTTTTATGGCTCCAGTATCTGATAATCAGCGACTTATACTTTACAGATTCCAAGTAAAAGAACCCGGGAGCCTTATCTCCATACTTGAACTACTCAGACCAGGGGTTGTCTTCTTTGTGTCATTGCCTTAGCACTTGAAGACACTGGGTGCAGGAGATAGTCAGTAGCTTTTTGTTGGAATAAATTGAAGAGCAGGAAGCATACATCTCTGCTTTGAAAAGGAAAATCCACATACTCTTATTTGAGGGAAGTAAATCTTAACAGTAGAAATATTCCCAGCACTTAGAATTGTTTCACTAGTGATCAGTGATGAGATTAATGAGGTTTACAGATCTCCTCAATCTGCTGTCAGCTCAACAGAAGATACAAATCTTAAGATTTTAGATGATTACTTATTGTGAGGCTGGCAGTATAATGACAGTGTGTAGCTAGCCTCATAATAAGTAATCATCTATCTTTGAGTGGGTCTGTCCTTCCAGTGTCACCAAGTCCCTAGATATCAAGGCATCAGCACAGATATGCTCAATTTACTAGTAATTTAAGAAATAACCAATTGAGAGAAGTAAGAAACCAATTTACATTAATCCAGGTTAAATATGCAATTGGCCATATCCAAATCCTATGATAAATCCTTTCAACAAATGCTTATTAAAATTCACCATGGTATTCCTTCTCACTTTGCTGAAACAGGAAATACACCCAAGTTCTTCAACTATAGATGTGCTTCTGGCTAGAGGACATTTACATATGTTAATACTAATCTGTTTTTCAGCTTCCAAAAACACCTTTATTTTCTTTCAAGTGGAGTTTTGGAGAGGAGTAAAGGAAGTAAGGAGTAGAGAAGTTCACTTACTTTAACATTACAAAAATGTGATGTGCTGCTTCTATATAAATTTTTACTATAGTCTGTGTTAGACGATGTTTAAATAAGTGATTGTATTTTTACAGAGAAGAAAGCAGAAGCGGTTTATACTAATGCCAGGAAGCAATTGCTCATTTCTGCCGTTCCGCCTATCCTAATTCTCCATCTGAAAAGATTCCACCAGGTAAAGTCCTCTCATAGAACTACAGTCACTTTTGCCATGTATTTCGCAGAGCCCTATGTCTTATAGAATATTTTCAGTGATTAATAACTTGTTGAATTTAAAGAATTGTCATGTGGGATTTACTGCTCTCCTTACCATAAGAGTTTACACGTTTTTTCTGGTTAAAGTTGTTAAATTCACAATATTTTAAGATTTAGGTGGTAGAAACCTAGGAGATATCTTCATGGGTTATTAAGGAAATAAAAGTTTTTTAAGAACAAACACTTGCAAGCAGCAAAGTAGTAAAGTACACCCAGCTTCCTGAGCTCTTCTGATCCCACTGCAAAGGGTGCTTGGGCTGGGCAAAGTGGGCCAGGGCCAAATGCAGTGCCACACACCCACAGGCCTCTACAATTGGATGCAACCTAAATATATATATATATTTTTTATTTTTTTTATTTTTTTAATTTTTTTAATTTTTTATTTTTTTGACAGGCAGAGTTAGACACTGAAGGAGAGTCAGAGAGAAAGGTCTTCCTTCCGTTGGTTCACCCCCCAAGTGCTGCTATGGCCAGCGTGCTGCGCCAGTCCGAAACCAGGAGCCAGGTGCTTCCTCCTGGTCTCCCATGCGGGTGCAGGGCCCAAGCACCTGGGCCATCTTCCACTGCTCTCCTGGGCCACATCAGAGAGCTGGACTGGAAGAGGAGCAACCAGGACTAGATCCCGGCACCCATATGGGATGCCGTTGCTGCACACGGAGGATTAACCAAGTGAGCCATGGCGCTGGCCCCTCCCATAGTTTTAATACAGTGTCTTTTGTCTCAAATGAGTTTTTTATACTTTTTAAAATGATTTTAAAATTTCTCCAAAAGAGTGAATAAGTGAAAATACTACAACATTTTTGAAAAAGTTATGAAGAGTTTTTTTTTGCTACCTGTTTGAAAATAAACTACACAATAATTAAGAAGATTCGTTTGGAATTGTCAATAAAAAATGAGTAAAAGTTAAAGCTTTTGGCCGGCGCCGCGGCTCACTAGGCTAATCCTCCGCCTAGTGGCGCCGGCACACCGGGTTCTAGTCCCGGTTGGGGCGCCAGATTCTGTCCCGGTTGCCCCTCTTCCAGGCCAGCTCTCTGCTGTGGCCAGGGAGTGCAGTGGAGGATGGCCCAGGTGCTTGGGCCCTGCACCCCATGGGAGACCAGGAAAAGCACCTGGCTCCTGGTTCCTGCCACCGGATCAGCGCGGTGCGCGGCGGCCATTGGAGGGTGAACCAACGGCAAAGGAAGACCTTTCTCTCTGTCTCTCTCTCTCACTGTCCACTCTGCCTGTCAAAAAATTAAAAAAAAAAAAAAGTTAAAGCTTTTATCTTATGATACAAGGAAAACCTCAAATCAATTGGGACTCAGGAAAAGCAGTTAGTGTTGGAGGGGAAACAATTTAGAGTTTCACTCCACATGATATTTTTCAAATAAATTCTTTTAATTATTAAAAGCAAATTGTCAGAGAAGACTGAGAAAGCATAAAGGAATATTTAACCTGACATCTGTGTGAAAGACTTAATTTGTATAAACCCTTAAAGAAATTGTAGGAAAAAAGATTGAGAGCTTTGAATACATTTGCAACATTTCAGGTGGGCAGTGGAAGATTTTTCTCTATTTTCACACCCCCTGTCCACAGGAGGATTAGATTGAGTTCTTGATTTTTCTGTGACCAACGTTACAGAAACTCAGTGGAGGTGAAATGGGCATGCAGAGCAGGTGCAGATGGATCATGCCAGAATGCTAACCAGGAGAGGTACATCTGCAGGGACTCTCTGCCAACCAGACAGGGTCGTGCCAGATTGCATAAGTTAACTTCACAATGTACTTATTTTATATTTGGCACTTAACTTTATATTTAAATGTACTTATTTTATATCTGGTACTTACCTCCCTACTTAGGAACAAACAGCTTTAAGAACTCGTGTCCTTAAAGGGAAATAGTTATGGACATCTCTGTTCCTTCTTGTTCTCAGGCTAAATGTAATGTCAGCAAAGCCACATTCTCATTCTTAGGGATTTGGAATTGTGGGAGCCACAGTCCCTATGCCATGTGTTTGTTTCTAGTTTGTTAGCATCCCTAAAGGCCTATTTCTCTGTAGTAACTTTAGAGCTGTGTATTAGAAACATCCACAACACTTAAAGGCAAATCTCAAACTGGATCGAGATCTTTGGCAAAAATATGTCAAATGATTAATATTGTAAGTACATACAGAGCTCTAAAAGATCAATAACAAAAATATCAGGACCCTATAGTATCACAGGTAAAGGATATGTATTAACATGAAATGATCTCAAACATTGGTGGTATCAGGTGCTTATGTAGATCACCTGATAAAGAAGGCAAAGCAATTGAATACATGCTAAGTCATTCCTGGGATGTGTCTTCACAATTACATGTCCTGTATCATGTTTAACTTCCTAAAAATCACTTGGAAAAAATAAGAATATATTTTTGCCAGAAAATTTATTTAATCAAAAAGTAAGGTTTTTTTTCTTTAAAGATAGATAATAAATGGAAATGCAAACAATTTAGAGTAAAATTATGGGCATGGTATACAAATGAAAAGACCAGTTATTAAACACATGAAAGCTCTCCATGAAAGGTTGCATCTATTAATTTTTGTGTACTCAATTCTACAATTCAGATTGAAATATCTTCTCATTCCAACCAAGTCTGTTTCTATTTATGGGTCTCGCACTGAATACCTTTCTCAGTTTGTCATCTAGTTTTTATTGCCATTACATAATGCAGAACATACATGTCTCAAAGTCTGCCTTTGGGAATTATAAGTAGAAAAAGAGAGCTTATTTAAGAAGATACAAGTTCATTTTCATTTAAGTGAGTGTTATATATAACATCTACTTTTATTGATAAAATGTTTTGAATGTTTAGGTTTTTTTTCTTTTTAAGGAGTGAATATCATTACATTTTAGAAATGAAAAGAACCTAATTAAATCCATTTTTAACCATTTTCTACCTTGATTTTGATAAAATTGCCTAGAGTCAAGCTAATAGATAATAAATCATTGAATTAGGCCTGGAACACTAGGCTGTTGACCTGAGTTAGATATATTTTCTCTTTGTAAAATAACTTTAATTTTTCAAAGACTTATTTTATTTATTTCACAGGCAGGATTACAGAGAAAGAGGGAATGACAGATGGGGAGAGAGAGTGATCTTTCATCCCCTGGTTCAATCCCTAAATGTCTACAAAGGCCAGGGCTGAGCCAAGCTGAAGCCAGGAGCCGGTAGCTTCTCCCACGTCTCCCACATTGGGTGCAGGGGCCAAGTGCTTGAGCCATCCTCCGGTGCTTCCCTAGGCACATTAGCAGGGAGCTGTATTGGAAATGGAGTAGCTGGGACTTGAACGGGGACCCATAAGGGATGCTGGCACTGCTGGTGCTACAGACAGTGACTTAACCTACTATATGCAGTGCCAGCCCCCTAAGTTAGATGCATTTTACGATACATCTGTGTCATTAGTTTAGCTTTTAAGACATTGAACTTATTTTTCTGTGTTGAGAAGACACAGTGAACATAATTATTTATCTTATTCTTCAGGGTAAAAATCCTATATATATATATATGAATGTTGCAGTAACAATTTATGAGCTATTATTATATTTTTGTATCTGAAAAATTCTAGAATTTCTCTTTTGGTTTTAATTAATGCTTTATGTAACTAACAATTTAAAAATTATTTTTGGTCTTTTTAAAGGCTGGCTTGAGTCTTCGTAAAGTCAACAGACATGTAGATTTTCCACTTATGCTTGATTTAGCACCATTCTGTTCTGCTACTTGTAAGGTACAGTATACAAAGACTTTTAATTGCCTTGTAAATAATACTTAAATATATCCTATATATTGTTTATTAGTTGTTGTGTTAAATGAGCTCTTCCTTGGAAAACAAATTTTAATAGTTTTAGTAACATGGGAGGTTTTACACTCAATATGACCTTTATCCTTTGACAGAATAAGAGAAAGTTGAAAAGATGAGTAAGGCATGATGTGTAGTGATCATAATGATCAAAGCTGTTTGTAAATGCTTCTAGAAGCTGATGGTTGCTGAAAGAAGTGAGCAGGGTTCATGCTTTCTTCTGTTCCTTGTGGGTGATCTGTGTAACCAGTAGTGGTTTTACCATTTGTGGAGTTCTATGTCTCTGTAAATCAATATGCTAGAAATTTTTTTCATGCCATTTTTTGTGTACTGCTGGGAGTATTGTACATGTCAGCTGAGTATGATGCTTGAAAATTGCTAATACTTTTCATAATTATGTATAGAAAACAGACTTATTTATTATTGCTTCTAAACATGCCAAATCCAAAATGCTCTAAAATCCAAACCTTTTTGAGTGCCGACATGATATCACAAGTGGAAAATTCCACATCTGACCTCATCTGATGTGTCAGAATGTCAAAATACAGGTGTGTTCCCTCAGAAGCAGCAGGTGATGGCTCAAGTATTTGGTTCCCTGCCTCCGTGTAGGAGAATTAGATTGAATTTCAGGCCTCCAACCTCAGCCTGGTCCAACCCTGGCTATTGCAGCTATTTGAGGAATCAGCCAGTGGTAGGAAGATCTTTATCTCTGTGTTTTTCTACCTCTCAAAGTGAAAATAAATAAATTTGAAAATTTTTTAAAAATACAGGTCAGCTAAAATGCTATATAAAATTATTTTCAGGCTAAGTATGTAAGGTTTATATGAAACTTAAATAAATTTTGTTTAGACTTGGGTCCCCAACATATCTCATTATGTACATGAAAATATTCCAAAATCTGAAACACTTCTGGTCACAGGCATTTCAGATAAGGAATATTCAACCTGTATTTACATGGAGGAGTTTCACAGGTGAAACTGATGACTTTTCTTCCTTGATGGGATCACAGTTATGGGATCACATATCATCCTGTTCATGATTATTGGCTAGAAGTCTAGGATTTGTGGTATGTAACAATGCTTATCGAACTTATTATTTTCAGTATATTGGCCAATCAAAACAAAAACATCTTAAATGCAATTTTCTGGTGCATCTATTTTATCTTCTATGGGACTGCCAGCACAATCTATCAAATTATTAGCATTCATTATTCTTTTTTTTTTTTTTAGATTTATTTATTTGAAAGGCAGAGTTACACAGAGAGAGGGAGAGACAGAGAGGGAGAGACAGAGAAGGAGAGGGAGAGGGAGGGAAGGAGAGAGAGAGAGAGAGAGATCTTCCATTGCCTGGTTCACTCCTCAAATGCCTACAACAGCTAAGGCTGGGCCAGGCTGATGCCAGGAGTCTGGAGCCTTCTCAGGATCTCCCACATGCATCTTCTGCCTTCCCAAACATATTAGCAGGGAGCTGGATCAGAAGTGGAGCAGCCAGGTCTCGAACTGGTGCCTATATGGAATGCCAGTGTCTCAGGCAGTGGCCTTACCCACTACACCACAATGATAGCCCCTAACACTCATTATTAGAATTTGATAATGTGTTAAATAAAAATGAAACTTTACAAGCCTTTTATTAAAGTTGTGAAAACATTTTAAAAACTTTTTCAAAGATCTATTTTATTTGAAAGGCAGAGCAACAGAGAGAAAGAGAAAGAGCAAGAGACAGAACAATTTTCCATCTGCTGATTCAGTCCCCAAATGGCTACTACAACCCAGAGTGGATCAGGTGGAAGCCAGAAATCTGCAGCTCCATCCCCATCTCCCATGTGGGTGCAGGGGTCCAGGCACTTGGACCAGTTTTTTCTGCTTTCCCAGGTGTTCCACCATGGAGCTGAATTAGAAATGGAGAAGCCAGGCCGGCGCTGCGGCTCACTAGGCTAATCCTCCGCCTTGCGGCGCCGGCACACCGGGTTCTAGTCCCGGTCGGGGCGCCGGATTCTGTCCCGGTTGCCCCTCTTCCAGGCCAGCCCTCTGCTGTGGCCAGGGAGTGCAGTGGAGGATGGCCCAGGTGCTTGGGCCCTGCACCCCATGGGAGACCAGGAAAAGCACCTGGATCCTGGCTCCTGCCATCGGATCAGCGCGGTGCGCCGGCTGCAGCGCGCCGGCCGCGGCGGCCATTGGAGGGTGAACCAACGGCAAAGGAAGACCTTTCTCTCTGTCTCTCTCTCTCACTGTCCACTCTGCCTGTCAAAAAAAAAAAAAAAAAAAGAAAAAAGAAATGGAGAAGCCAGGACTCAGAACTGGCACCCATATGGGATGCCAGCACTGCAGGTGACAGCTTTGTTCGCTACACAACAACTCTGGCACCATATTCCAGTCCTTTGATAATACAAATTATCCAGAAGATAATAGTCTGGTACATATTTTTTGTTTTGTTTTGGTTTGTTTTTACATTTTGCACATGTACCTGTGGAATAGAGTCCTAGAAATAGGATTCATGGATCCAAAAGTAATACATATGTAGCTCAGCTAGAGGACATGCAATATCCCTGCCTAGGAGTGGAACATTTGAATTGCCATGAGGAATATGTAAGTATTTTCCCCACAGCATCAGCAGCTGGGGATCTTGTCAAGCTCTTGCACTTTTACCAGTGCAATAGGTATGGGAGAGTGTCTCAGTGTCATTTTAATATGCATTTCTGGGACCGTTGTTGCCACACAACCAGTTAAGCTGCCACCTGGGAAACCAACACCCACGCTGGAGTGCCTGGTTGTGTCCTGGCTATTCTGCTTCCATTGGGGAGGCAGCAGTTGATGGCTCAAGTACTTGAGTTCCTGCCAGCTGTGTGGGAGACCCTGATGGAGTTCTTGGTTCCCAGCTTCAGCCTGGCTTAGCCCAGGCTGTTGTGGGCATTTGGGGAATGAAGCAATGGATGGAAGATCTCTCTCTCTCTCTCTCTCTCTCTCTCTCTTTCTGTGTGTGTGTGTGTATGCCTTCTGAGTAGATGGAAGTTAAATATTTTTTTTTATAAAGAGCAAACCTCATAATGCAGTGAGGAGAACATGAATATTTAAAACTATGCATTTATTTTGAGCAGGATGTATTTACTTACTTTTCTCTTACTGTAGTATTTCACTCAGTATTACTAACTTGGGTCTTTTTCTTTATTTTAAAGAATATAAGCATGGGTGATAAAGTGCTCTATAGTCTCTATGGCATAGTGGAACACAGTGGCTCCATGAGAGGAGGGCACTACACGGCTTATGTGAAAGTGAGAACACCCTCCAGGAAGTTATCAGAATATATCACTGGAAAGAAGACTGTGCCTGGTATGCCATCCTCAGTTTATTTTATTCTTGAAAACAAATGAGTTTATTCATCCATTTCTTGAAGAATGGTTATTACTTTACTGATACCTCCAATGGATTTACTTCGCTGAGGTTGTGATGATTACCTCACTTTCAGAGTGAATTGCAGTGTCATACTCTGTTATTTAGTGACACCAAGCTTTTTAAGATAAATGGGTGTGGGCGGACACTGCGGCTCACTAGGCTAATCCTTCGCCTTGCGGCGCCGGCACACTGGGTTCTAGTCCCAGTCGGGGCACCGGATTCTGTCCCGGTTGCCCCTCTTCCAGGCCAGCTCTCTGCTGTGGCCAGGGAGTGCAGTGGAGGATGGCCCAAGTGCTTAGGCCCTGCACCCCATGGGAGACCAGGAGAAGCACCTGGCTCCTGCCATTGGATCAGCACAGTGCGCCAGCCGCAGAGCTCTGGCCGCGGCGGCCATTGGAGGGTGAACCAACGGCAAAGGAAGACCTTTCTCTCTGTCTCTCTCTCTCTCACTGTCCACTCTGCCTGTAAAAAAAAAAAAAAAAAAAGAAAAAAGAAAAAAGAAAAAAAAAAGATATATGGGTGTGCATAGTAGAGTTGGAGTTGTACATTTGCTGGCTTTCCTTATCGATCCTCAAACTAACTTTGCCTTTCTCCCCCTCTTTTCCTTGATTCTTTTCCCTGAACAATTAAGTGTTTATAAGACTAATATTTTGCTAGCTATTTAAATTAAAATGTTGGGGCTGGTGCTGTGGTGTAGTAGGCTAAGGGATGTGGCACCAGCATCCCATGTGGGTGCCAGTTTGTCTTGGCTGCTCCTCTTCTGATCCAGTTCTCTGCTGTGTCCTGGGAAAGTATTGGAAGATGGCCCAAGTGCTTGGGCCCCTGCATCCACTTGGGAGATGCAGAGGAAGCTCCTGGCTCCTGGCTTCAGATCGGCCTAGCTCTTGCCATTGTGGCTATCTAGGGAGTGAATCAGTGGATGGAAGATCTTTCTCTCTGTCTCTCCCTTCGTCTCTTTGTATGTAACTCTACCTCTCAAATAAATAAATAAAATCTTTAAAAAATAAATTAATTGAAATGTTACTAATAGAGATAATTGGTAATGTTCCCTATAATTTTATACTTTGAAATAATTAGTTCCTTTTGGTATATGCTTAACCCAAGAGGGGAAAAAAAAAACTCCTGAAATGAGAACTAGCAGGTAGTTTGTAATGAATGTGTTGCTGTCTATAAAAAACATACTTATTGTAAAATTGTACTTTTGTTTTGTTAGATGTGAAAGAACCTGACAGTGAATCGGTGGGCCAGTGGATCCACGTTAGTGACACTTATGTGCAGGTGGTTCCAGAATCAAGAGCACTTAATGCACAAGCTTACCTTCTTTTTTATGAAAGACTATTATGAGTATTCATTAATTGCCAATGGTAATATTTAGATTACTTTTATTTGAATGCTGCAACACAACCAAAATATGTAATGTGCCTTTGTAGTCCTCTTTCTTCTGTAGGAATGGCATGTCCCTCATATGCTTCTGAACTTCCTCACCATTTTGGTAAGCCCTTTTAAAGTAAGTTAATGTACTCAGTGCTTTCAGATTTGCATTCTTAAATAAGTAACTCAGAATTTACAGAAGAGGAAAACCCTTTACCATGTGGCTTGTTATTACAAGCAGTCAGAGTCAAATCATTCCTTGAGACACTGCTTCCTCAATGTACTATACCTTCCTGATCATATATATATATGTCCTATGCCATTGTTTACTTATTATTTTCAAATCTTTTTCACCTTTTTTAGCCTTAGCTTTTTTTTGAGCAATCATATTTCACATTTAATGTTTAATTTTCATACTTAAACATTAAAACATTGTTCATCCAGGTTCCACTCCCTATAAAATCATCTCAGGGCTATCCAGTGGTATATGTGTACTGCTGCATAAGAAACACTGCTGTGATACATGAAGTAATGCCTAATATGGCATAGCTATCTTGTGATTTTGTATGATTCAGCCACATAAAAAGGCATCACTGTAATTTAAGTAGTGTGGATTTACCAATAGTATATTGATTGGCCTCTTGTTTTGAGACCTAAAAAACTGCTGAAAACATTTCATCAACATACCATTTGCAACCTACTCATGGTGGAGCTAGGAATAATTTGCAAGTGGTTGTCCAGAGTCAAAATATAATTGTAGATAACTGTAAAATGCAGAATTGGTAAATAAAAGTAGATAATCCATATGAGACTGCAGGATAGTTTGAAATATAAACTAGCAAATTATATTTGTAAGTGATAGAGAATTATATTATTAGACTTAACAAGGAAACATAATAAATACACTTTCTACCTCTGTATTTCAGTATATGTTAAAAATAGTTTTTAGAATTTTGAAATCACTTTTATTGTCTTCAGTAAGCATCATTAGTAAGTTCATGTGAGTTTACTTTTATTTTCATGGTGCATAAAGTTGACCTTTCTTGTTTTCTTTTTAAATAATATGAAAAAGATGATAGTTTTTTCTCTCTAAATAACAAATTATTAAGCTGTTGGAATTTAGCATGAAAAATACTGTTAAGTCTAAATTTTCAAAAACAATGGCTCCTTCACTGTCATATTCTTGAGTCAAAACATTAACTCTATAATTCAGTCATTCTGATCATTCTTTCCCAAGAACGATACTACAGGCAAACACCAGATGAGTGCCTGGATCCAGTATGCTCTCCCCTGGAGAAGAAGGATAAGAATAGTGGGTGTAGATAATGTGTAGAAATATTTAACCATGATTGGCCCTTTTTAAAATGTTAGTGTATATGACATAATCAAGGTTACCAGTGCTGCCTTTTGATATATGGATGGATGGAATTGTGATTAAGGTGGTAATGGTATACAATATATAGTGCTTAAAAATGTCATTGCATGAATTCTCTTTTTAACATATAGTACTTTTCTTGATTTTTTAAACCATGAGATAATGGAAGTATATATTTTTATAAGTTAATCTGCTAAGTCAGGTTGTATCTTCTGTAAGTACCTTGCAATATTTTCTTTTTAAGTATAACCAGTTTACATTGAAGGATCACAGTACTGGAGCAGTGAAATTTTTTAGAAGTATTAATAAATTTCTTCATTCAATTCAGCTATTTTGGTAATAGCAACCACAGTCCTCTCCAACAAATGTAAATATTAAATCACCTCATTTTTCTCATAGAAAAGATACTAAGAAACATGCACTTTTCATTGACTAGTCATCTGTTTCTTGTCAGACCTACTGTGGGCCAGGTACTGTACTGACTTTTAACATTCTGTAAAATGGAATGACCTACATAGATTTTAGGCATTATTCCAGAAGGTACATGTAAGTAAGACACATTTATTTTCATTTCCTTAATATTAAGTGAACTAATGCTGAATTTTTTATTGCCTAGGACTATAAGTTTTTTTTCCTTATCTTCTGAAAATGGATAAATTCAGTTTTGATACCCCAAAATTTCCTAAACATTTTGTAATAGAGAAAGTATGCTGAATTACACATTGGCCTACATTAAATTTTTTTTAATTTTGATTATGTCCAATACATATTTGTAAGGATATTAAATTGTGAGGCCACTAGCATAACAATAGCTTCTGGGTCACCTCAGGAAACAGTATAGATGAGTGAGAATGTTTACAGACCATCAACTCAACTACCATGATGCTTGACTGAAGGAATTTAAGAAGCTTAGCAAAGATGTTTACTAGCTTTATTTAGAAACTGGTTTACAGGGTATATTGAACCTGAATTCCCCCTAGTTTTTCCATATTTAAAATGATAAAATTTTGCTTATGTGCCAATTATGTGAATATTTTGACATAACCAAATATACATCTATACTTAAGATTTTTATTATTTAATGTTTTTAGGAATTATGTGAAGACTGCCTTTTCAGGTGGCCAAAGAGAATGATAGTTGATGTCAATTAAAAAAAGTAGTTGACAGCTGTTCTTATTTTAAATGTACCAACAGAGACATTTTACTACATTTAATAGCTGTTAGTGTGCATGTGTGATTTTAATCATGATTTTTATACAGTAGCTGAATAAAATTTCCTGAACATTAAATTGTGAGCTGTATCAACTCTCATCTAATTTTTGGAAAACAAACATCTTAGCTACTTTTCTTAAATTCATATTGATAATTTATTTTTCTGCATGATACCTGATCAAATAAGCCTCAACCAAAAATGTAATGTGCAGTAAAACTGAGCGATAATATCTAGTGCATTATTAACAGAGCCTATTTCTAGGTATTTAAAATGATTTTGTTCACATAGAAGTCCTCAATTTAAATTTGTTTAAAAGATAGATGACTATATTTTCAATTATGAGCAATAAATTCATGTCATTCCTACTGTTTTATCTTTACTTTTTTGCAGTGTTTTTAGAAATCAACTATGTAACTTATTGAGCATTATTTTGATGTAACTGTACAAATATATATAATAAATATAATAAATATTAAATTCTTATTTATCTATGTTACAAAATTGGCCCTGGAGTTTTTGCAGTGCACATTATTGACAGCATGTTTTGCCTATCAATACTGTATCTGTTTATGTCTTAGTCTTCTTGGGATGCTGTAACATAGAGTGATTTCTTAACAAGAGAAATTTATTTCTCACAATTCTAGAGGCTGAGAAGGTCAAGATCAAGGTACCAGGTTGGGGGTGTGGTGAGCCTGTTTGCTGGTTCATGGACTGTGCTTTCTCTTGGTGTTCACATCTGGGGAAAGGGATCTCTCTGGGGCTCTTTTACTAATCCCATTCACTAGGGTTCCACAACTGAGGCCTGATCACCTCCCAAAGGCCCAACCTTAAAAAAGCACATTGTGAACTGGGGCGGGGGGGGGGGGGGGGGTACATAAACATTCCCAGCAATTTACTCAGCTATAAACTAAACAGCTTCTAAACTTTAGAAATTCGCTGTTTCAGAACAAAACATCTTGTTTATAGGTCATTTTTCACCATCTACCAAGGATGAGCCTTCATCCCTTGTGATGTTTCTTAAAATGTTTGAATTAGGGCTGGTGCTGTGGTGTAGCAGGTTAATGCCCTGGCCTGAATTGCCAGCATCCCATATGGGCACCAGTTCGAGACCCGGCTGCTCCCCTTCCGATCCAGCTATCTGCTATGGCCTGGGAAAGCAGTAGAAGATGGTCCGAGTCCTTGGGCCTGGGCACCCGCATGGGAGATCCAGAAGAAGCTCCTGGCTTCTGGTTTTGGATCGGCACAGCTCCGACTGTTGCGGCCATCTGGGGAGTGAACCAGTGAATGGAAGACTCTCTCTCTCTCTCTCTCTCTCTCTCTCTCTCTCTCTCTGCCTCTCCTCTCTCTGTGTTACTCTGACTTTCAAATAAATAGAATAAAATAAAAATAAAAAAAATAAAAAATCATAAAATAATTAAAAAATAAAATGTTTGAATCAGGGCCAGAGTTGTGGAACAGTGAGTTAAGTGACACCAGCATCTCATATGAGCACCAGTTTAAATCCTGGCTGATCTGTTTCCAATCCAGCTCCCTGATAACGCACCTAGGAAAGCAGCAGAAGCTGGCTCAAGTGTTTGGGACCCTGTACCCACATGGGATACCTGGACAAAGCTCCTGGCTTCAGCCTGACCCTGTTACAGCCATTTGGGGAATGAACCAGCGGATGGAAGATTCTTCATCTCTCTCTCTCCCCCCCTCCCTGTAATTCTGCCTTTTATTTTTAAGATTTATTTTATATATTTGGGAGGCAGAGTTACAGATAGACAGAGGGAGAGGGAGAGAGGTCTTCTATCCCCTGGTTCACTCCCTAGATGGCTGCAACAGCCGGAGCTGGGCCTATCCGAAGCCAGGAGCTAGGAGCCTCCTTCAGATCTCCCACGTGGGTGCCCAGGCCCCAGGACTTGTGCCATCTTCTACTGCTTTAATAGGCCACCAGCAAGGAGCTGATGGGAACTGAAGCAGCTGGGACTTGAATCAGCACCCATGTGGGATAAACCACAGGCAGAGGTTTAACATGCCGCTACGCCAGCCCCTGTAATTCTGCCTTTCAAATAAATCTTACCTAAAAAAAGTTTGAATCTTTTAGACAAGATAATTCATCAAGAAATATTTTGTCCACCTTTTGTATTTAAGGGGTCATGAAGCACTTTCAAATTATGATGAAAATTACAGTCCAAGTTTCATTTGTTGAATCAGTTAATAAGCATTCCCTGAATACCTGCTATGTGGTGCACACGTAACAGCAGTGAACACAAAAAGACAAAAATCCAAGAAGTTTCTAAAGAAATAGACATTCTAGGCTGCACAGAGTAGGGACAGGTTAAATAGGTAGTATTGATATGGAGAAAAAAAATCCAGCAATATTACCTACAGAGCCATGTGGGAATTACAAGTCCTGGGAATAAAAGATGCCCAATGGATAAAACCTGTGGGTTATTCATGATCGTTCCAAAGAGAGAGGGGTTTTGGAGGGAAAATGGGGTTTTTAATTCTGGGGCCCTCTTCTGGCAATACAGCATCTGGGAAGGAAACCTTGGTATTTGTTATGTTCCCAGAAAAGTATTTGTCCCAATTTTTGTATGTAATTTCAGAGGTTCATGGACCTCCTGAAACTATTTTCATACACATTTAAAATTGTGCCCAAGCAGAAAAATCTAAAATGTTTGCATTCCCATACGTATTAGGATAGGCAGGGTTATATTGCATATATTGCATTAGCAACCCAAAATCACAGTGCCTTAACCTTCTTGAGACAAATATAGATACCAGTAACAGAGTTTGCTATTGATCAAACGAAGAACCTAAAATAAAAAGCATTAGCAAAAGTTGGTTGGCAGACATTGAAACAAATATTGATGGCTAGAAACAAGGCACTTATGCAGTGAAAAAAAAATTTTAAAAAGATTATTTTGTTTTTACTTAAGAGTGACAGAAAGGGAGAGCTATATTAACAAATGACCCCAGAACCTCCATGTTTATTTTGTGGTCAGTGCAAAGTCCTTTGTGGATTTAGGGATTGTTTTTGGCACTGTTTCCATGCAACAACTCAGTGGTCCAGGCTGACAAAGGATTTACCAACCTGTAGCTGTGTTATCTAAAACATACATTATTTGAAACATGCTGCATTTATGTGAAATGTGCAACCTGACCCAGTAAGCATAGGCCCATAATTGACTTCATCATTTAACCCACAGTTAGAACTAATTCACAAATTCCACCCTAACTTTAAAGGGCTTAAAAATGCAGTCTTCTTTGTACAATAATCAGCAGTGAATTAAGTATTAACACAAATAATGCTTGCTATGCCATACAAATGAATTAAGGACAGCAACAGTAGTTTGGATCACAAAAGAGTCTAGGTAACAATATGCAGTCATTGAACTTAGTAGTTTACCATACTTCTTCCAGTATGGTCAATTCCTTCATAAAGCCCAGTATGGTTCATTGTTAAGTAACAATTATTTTATATCCCTCTTTGTTATGAGATACTGTCACTAATTTCTAGGAGATGCGCAAGTAATCATATTTAAGAATCAAAGAGTTGCAGTTTGTCATAATTAATGCTTGTAGCATATGAACTTTAAATGTTTTTTTACATTCCATTTTGTTCATTGTGGTAAAATGTACATACAACATAATTTATCATTTTAACCATTTCAACTGCAGTTCATTGGCATTAATTCCACTCATATTGTTTTGCAAATCTCACCATCAGTCATTTCCAGAAACTTCATTATTTCAAAAAAACTCTGTACCCATTAAACAATAACTCCCATTCTCTCCCTACCCAAGCTCCTGGCCACTTCTAGTCTATTTTTTTTATATCTGAGTTTGCCTGTTCTAGGTACCTCATATAAGTGGAATTATACAATATTTGCTTTCTTATGTCTGGTGTATTTCAACCAGCATAATGGTTTCAAGGTTTATTCATAGTGTAATAGTATTATCAGAATGTCATTCCCTCTTAAGGTTGAGTAATAATCTACTGTATATGTCACAGTTTTAACTTTTTTTATTGTTCTAAAGTGGATATAATACAGAACCTAATAATACTATAGATGTTCAAATCTCGACAGGTCCTATTTTTCTTTTAAAGATTTCACTTATTTATTTCAAAGGCAGAAGTAGAGAGAGAGATCTTTGATCTGCTGGCTCACTCCCCAAACGGCCACAAAGGCTGGTGCTAGGCCAGGCTGAAGCCAGGAGTCAAGAGTCTTCTGGGTCTACCACGTGGGTGGCAGGGGCCCAAGGATTTGGGCTATCCTTTGCTGCTTTCTCAGGCACATTAGCAGGGAGCTGGATCATAAGTGGAAGAGCCGGGACTCGAACCAGTGCAAGTATGGGATGCACGTGCCGCAGGCTGTGGCTTAAACTGCTGTGCCACAGCGCAGAATTCCAGGTCCTATCTTCATATTTTTTCCACATCTCATCTTTTTTTAAAAAAATTTTTTATTTGAAAGTCACCCAGAAAGGGAGAGAAGTATCTTCCATCCGAACCAGTGCCCATATGGGATGCTGGGTCCCAGATGGTAGCTGTACCCATATTACGCCACAACACTGGCCCCTCCACATCTCATCTCAGCTTTTATCCATTTTACTTTAAGAACAAGTTGTTTCCATAACAGTATCTGGTACTAACAAAATATCCTCCTGCAGAATTTTTTACTTCAAGCACCCTGCACACAGGGGAAGTTAATAAATTAGTTTACAGCATCCCCTGATTATTAATCATTAACAGCAGATTGCCAAGGAGGACTGGCAAGGACTTGACAGTGTGCAGTGTGGTCAACAGTATTAGGTGTATACAACAGCTGCCCATTTCCACAGAAAATCACACATTCAGAGGAATTTGGTGGCGAAATACATAAAATTACTTGCCTGATGTCTCTGTCAGATCACAGTGTTAAGGGAGAAGTCCTTGAAGAGAGTGATTTAGGGAAAAGGAAATGGAATTGTGAAACTCACTTTGTGGCCTGGCAAATGGTGGTTGTTGACAGTGTCCCATTAAACTGTGTGGGGGTATTTAAGAATCCTCTCCATTTGGCAATGGATTTCCAAAGTGATTGATCTATATTGGGACCA